GGTAAGGGTTTGGGTCGTCCTCCGCGGAGTCAAGAAAGGCAGGATCAGTGGGTGAGACCGGATGGGAGTAGGGGAAGGAGTGCTCATCGAAAATCACATGACGGGAGACGATAATTTTGTGGGTACGAAGATCAAGGCAGCGGTATCCCCGTTGGTTAGACGGGTACCCGAGGAAGACATAGCGGGCGGAACGAGGGGCGAGTTTGTGGGGTGCTGTAGCAGATAAGTTTGGGTAGCAAAGACATCCGAAGACACGAAGGTGAGAGTATGTGGGTTTGTGACCATAGAGGGCTTCGTGTGGGGTGCGGTTTTGGAGAGTCGTGGTGGGTAAGATGTTGAAGAGATGAGAGGCCATATATAGAGCTTCAACCCAGAAGGTAGGCGGGAGTCGGGCTTGGAATAAAAGAGAGCGAACGGAATTGTTTATAGTACGAATGGTACGTTCTGCCCGTCCATTTTGTTGACTGGTATGGGGACATGAGAAACGGAAAAGAATGCCCAGGGATTCAAAAATATTTCGGAGGGGCCTGTTTCTATATTCAGTGTCATTGTCACATTGCACAGCTTTAATAGTAGTGTTAAACTGGTTTTTCACAAAGGCTATAAATGAATGAAGATGGGAACAAGCTTCAGATTTACTTCTAAGAGGAAATACCCATAAGAAATGAGAATAATCATCTAAGAGTAACATGTAATGTTTAAAACCAGTAACACTAGTAACAAGCGATTGCCACAAATCAGTATGTAAAAGCTGGAAAGGAAATGTAGAAATACGACTCGATGACTCAAACGGGAGACGAACATGTTTTCCCAATTGACAGGCATGACAAATTGAATTTTGTAAATGTTTAAAAGAAATAGCAGACGCGAGACAGGGGACTCCACGGAGAACGGCCAGGCTCGGGTGACCAAGTCGACGATGCCAGAGCTCTGGACTTTCACTGGCAACGTGGGCTTGGGCTTGGGCATGGGTGGCGGCTGGTAGGCTCATTTGGTAGAGAGGACCCGCATTATTGGACCGATGAATCACGGTTCCTGTCAGCATATCCTTCACAGAAAAACCAGTGGAATCAAATTCAATAGAACAATTGTTGTCACGGGTAAATTGCCTAACGGATATAAGGTTATGGATAATATGAGGGGAGACAAGGATGTTTTGTAAGTGGAGGGGGGGGGGAAGTGGGAAAATTATAATTACCGGTTGCTGTAGTGCGCACTTTAGAACCATTACCGACAGTGATATATGATGATGAATTTAAAGAATGATTACGAACATGAGAAAGAGTACCTGGGTCCGAGGCAATATGATGTGTGACGCCGGTGTCCATGTACCAATGTGGATCGCGGAGGCTCAAGGTGTCAAAATTGTGGGCAAGGGCGGTGGGTGTGATGGTGTTGGCACCGGCGGAGGGAGTTGTGGGTGAGGATGGCGGGTGGAGGGGGGCTGTCGGGTAGGGGCTGGGGTATGGGTAGGGTGCACTGGCGTGCGGGTAGGGTGTAGGAAAATAGGCCTGAGGGTACGGGTGGGGATTCGGGCGAGGGCCGAGGAGACCCGGGTTAGGGTTTGGGTTGGTGAACTGTCCGGTATTCTGCCCGTGGGTGTGCCGTGCATTTGACCCGAAGCTGCGGCCGCGACCACGACCCCGTTGCTGTCCCCCGCGTTGCCGGTTGTGCTGTGACTGCCCAGGACTGTTCCTGCCGCTGGAATCTGCCCGGCCTCCACCACTGCTGCCGTACCGCCGTGAGTCACCACCGCTGGAGCCACCGCCGCCGGCGTATAGAGCCGTGCCACTGTCCCCCACGGCCCCGCCAGTCCCCAGATCTGCCCGTTGTTGTTCGAGGAGGAGAAGGGCCGACCGGGTTTGGAGAAAAGTTGGGGGCGGCGTTTGATACTGGAGGAAGGACGTTTGACCACGAAGATCATCCGGTAACCCACGGAGAACTTGGAGAATGAGCTGCTGTTCGGACACGGTGGCATCCACATCATCTAACTAATCCGCTAGGTTACGAAGGGTTTGGCAATAGGCGGCCATAGAGAGAGATCCCTTCGTGGTGGTGCGGAATTGGTGTTCAAGTTGCATAGCCCGGGCCGCTTTATTGTCGTGAAAGAGATTATAGATGGACTTCCATAATTCCGAGGCCGATTTGGTAGTGGAAAGCACAAGATCACACACTTCATCATTCACCGTAGACAAGATCCATCCTTGAATGAGAGCGTCAAGTTGGAACCATTCGTCGTCATCGTCACTCGACGGCGACGATTTGCCGGTGAGAAACCCGCCCAAAGAAAACCGGCGAATGAGGAGGAGGAAAAGCCGGCTCCACTTCTTGTAGTTTGGCTCGGAGAAGCTGAGAAGAATCGGCACGTGTAGCTTTACGTTAGAAATAGTGGTGAAAGCCAAGTGGGGAGTCGGAGAGGAGGTTGCCGAGCCGGTGGCGGGGGTTTTCTCGGACATGGTGTTGTCGGAGGAGAGAGAACTGCTCCAGACGAGAGAGAGAGGGAGCTGCGCCTGCAGAGAGAGAGAGAGAGAGAGAGACGGCGGGATGGGGGCTGCTCTTCCGCCGGTGAAGCGCGGCGCTGCAGGGGAGGTGTGGCGGAGCTAGGGTTTCGGCCGAAAGAGAGGGTGGCGCAGCTAGGGTTTGGTCGAGAGAGACGAAGGCTCTGATACCATGAAGAAATATTATTTTCTATATCAAATAACGGAGGGCTAAGCCTCGTATATATAATACATGGGAATCCTAACTACGGAAGGAAACCTATATAAGGAAACTACCATGTATACAATGATTACACAATTAATACTAAATATATACATAATATATATTTAACACGCACCTATATGGCTCATTCGTTCCTTCTATGGGAAAAAGGTAAAAAGTTTAGTTCAACTTGAATGAAAAAAATGCAAATTTTATTTGGTGATAAAAGAATATATACTTATATTTTATTAAATGCATGTGTTCTCAACCACACTAAAAAAATATTCTCAACTTTAAAATATTTCCTCATTTCAGATTTGTCACCCTTAAATAACAATGCATCAAATTCAATACTAGTAATAAAATAGTTGATTGAAAAGTAAATCTTAAAAATTTATTTTATACTACACATTAAATAAGCAACATATTTTTTATTTAATTATTCGTCAAGTACATAGATTTGTACATTAATCTGTAAAAATTAAATGAGTAGTTTTGAAGTAAACATGTAAACACTAACACACACACACTCCCTCCGTCCCTAAATAGATTACAATTTTTTTTTCTCTCCTCTCGATATCTTTTGTTTGTTTACGCGATTTCATTAAATATTTGATAAAATAAAATATTCTTGTCACCTCTTATTTTATAGAACTTTTGGCATAATTTTTTAATATGTAATTTTTATATCTTATTAATATACCAATTTGTAAGTAAAATAATTTCAAAAAGTATGAAATTTTTCACTGTAACTCGCAATTTGTAATCAAATTGGGGATGGAGAGAGTATAAAATTTATGAATCAACATTTTAAGATACACGTGTACTTATATGATTTTAAATTTTGGCGCTTTCGCGCATCTTGAGATTTTAACCATGTTGCAACGAGGAATGTGATTCCGTTTGTGGGACCCACCCCAGTGTCACTGGTTTGGAACTTGGCAAAGCTCTGTGGGCCTCCTTTGGCGGCCGTGGTTCGGTTCGGAGGTGCAAGCACCATCTTTTACCGGCGGAGGCGTCACAATAGGATTGCCTTCCAAACACACACTTCCTTTCGCCTGAAAATCGGCGGCGGCCGTCTGGTTGACCTTGATCCCGGTCAGCGAGTTGTGCTGCAAGTAGAGACCCTTCATTTCCGACGAGAGAACCCGGTCCACGAACTCGCCCGGGACCTCACCCGTGAACCGGTTATTGTTCATTGCCAAACTCTTCGCCGCGGAAAAACAGGGCGGTATTTTCCCGCTCAAACGGTTGTAGCTGAGGTCAACGGTTGCGATATTCACCGCACACGCCGGCGATTGCGGTAGGCTCCCGGCGAACCGGTTCCCGTCGAGGAGGAGCGTTTCCATGGGAGGACAGAAGAGGTTGGCCGGAATGCAGCCGGAGAAGTCGTTGAAGCCGAGATCGAGAAACGTCAGGTTGTTCAAACCGGATAACGCCTGGTGCACGGTGGACGTCAGCCGGTTACGCGGCAGCGAGAGGGAGTTCAAGGACGGAGGGAACGCGTTCGACGGGAGACGGCCGGAGAGGTAGTTGTCATTGAGGTCGACGGTCAGCAGATTCGGGGAGTAAAAAACAGGGACGGAGCCGGACAGACGGTTGCCGCTGAGATCGAGGCTGGTTAACGCCGGGAGGCCTCCGATTAGCCAAGGGATACTTCCGGTGAGGCGGTTGCAGCTGAGATCGAGCTTCAGCAGGTTGCGGAGACTCGCAATTGACGGCGGAATCCCGCCGGAGAAACGATTCCCTGTGATGGAGAGCAGCGTGAGGCTGGATAAGTTGGTGAGCGGCGACGAGAGCCAGTCCAGCGGGGAGCTGGAGATATTGCCGGGGTCCACGGCAAGCTCAGAAAGAGAAGGAAGGATAAGAAAAGGCGGGTCAAGCCGACCCGACAAATAGGGCCCAAGGTACAGCTTATAAACCTTAGTCTGATCCTCGGAGCAAGAAACGCCATTGAAATTGCAGAGGTCTCCGACGTTAAAATTCCAATTAACGAAGAAATTGGAGCCCGACAAATTCTTCTGAATCATTTGCAGAGACAAAAAAACAGGCGGGCTAGCAAAGAAAACGGAAGGCAGAAAAATAGTGAAGAGAAACCCAAACTTCATCGCCACCAACCCCATCATCAACCTTTTCGAATTTAGCTGAGGGAGAAAAAAGAACTTGAAATTACTGAAGTAATTTTAACTTTACTATCACACTTACCCCTTATTTAAACCCTCTCCGTCTTGTAATGTTCTTTTTATTTGATTTTTTTGGATTAAAGTTTGTAAACTTTGACTACGATATATGAAAAAAATATATTACATTAATTTTTTATAAAATATATCTATGAAAAAATATATTCTATAGATATTAGTAGTCAAAGTATAACATTAGAGACTATGGGTCAAATAGAAAGAATATATCTCGATGGAGAGAGTAACACGGAGTAATACTTTTCACTCTAAGTATGTTTTTAGTTTCAATTATTACAAAAAAAATTATTTTTAATAAAATAAAATTTATAGAGTATATTAATTAGATAAAGCAAGATTTTGAAAATATTTTGTAAGATAAACTTAATAATTTTATTTTTTTGAATATCTAATATAAATTTTATTTAATTATTGAATAAATTTATAAATTTTATGCATAAAAAACCAATATACTCGGAAACGGAAGCAGTGCTTTTGTCAGAAAATTACTCGCAGGTGACGCGAGTTTTGTTGAAATAACTCTCAGGTCCTTCTATTTTCAAAAAGGCAGCAGAGGTCCTTACATTTTGTTGTAATGACTGAGAGGGGACATTTCATCCAATACATCATTTGTAAGTGTTAATAAATGTATTTTTTTCCTATTTTTCCAATACCGTTTTTCCTATTTTGCCATTACCTTGTTATTTCTTTTTTTAGAATTTTTTTTATTTCATTTGTTTTAATATAATATAAACAATTTTGAATTTTTATACGATTTTATAGGAGAAATTTTAAAATAACACTTTAAAAAATAGTAACAAAATGAAAGAAAAACAAAGAAATAAAAAAAGGAGCGACCTAATATTTATTACCTTAAAACATTTAGAAAAGAATAGGAAAAAATACATTTATTAACGTTTATAGATGAAATATTGGATGAAATGTCCCCTTCTAGTTATTACAACAAAATGTAAGGACCTCTGCTGCCTTTTTGAAAATAGAGGGACCTGAGAGTTATTTCAACAAAACTCGCGTCACCCATGAGCAATTTTCTGGTGCTTTTGTATATCATGGTTTTCCTTTTTACCAAGTCAAGCTTAAGTCCAACCATTGGAAATTACGGTTTCCCTTTTCTTTAAATTACCATTTACCACGCCCATTGAATTCGGAGTAGTGGAGTAACACTTTTGATTTGAAAAAGGATTTAGGGGAAAGACTAAAATAGGGGTAAAGTTTAAGAAAAATTTTAAATAAAAATTTCATGTTTTTATCACCAAATTTCATTTTAAAAAAAAATCCGCAATAATCCATTAAACAAATCAACGTCGCCCATTTAGAAGTCAGCCGAAACGACAATGTCAAAGACGATAATGTATATGGACAAACATGACACCAAATAATACCAAACATGTGTGTGTACAATGTTAAAACCATTGGCGGATGTAGTATGTAGGAGTTGGGGGCATATGCCCCCTACTAATTTTTTGTAATAAGGTAAAAATAATTTTTTTAAAAAAAATTATGTATGTGTCCCCAACAAAAATTAGTGTGACCCCATCTAATTAGGTTAATTTTAATTTTTTGTTTATTTTTTAGTAACATATATTTTATTCCAAATAATGAATTGTTTATGAAATTAAAATTCACAATGTCTATTAAAAAATATTTCACATTCAATAAATGTTTAAAATAAGATTCAATATTTTTTGGTCATTTAACCTATTAAAAAAATCGAGAGGCGCTGCCCCCTGACCAATAGCACCCCCATCTAAGTGAAATCCTGGATCCGCTACTGGACTTAAAACACAATGAAAATGCCAAGAAACAATTTGATTTGGCAACATATAATGTCATGTTTGCATTAGAAGCATGATTTAACATCATAAAATATGGTCACAAAATAGAATCACGAAGAAGATTACGTTGTGATAAATGTAAATATGGGAATCAAACGAGTCCATCACAGTGCTCTTAATATGGCCACAAACAGAAATGGGAGTAGAAGTAAATCAGCTTAAAGAGAGATCCAAACTTGAGGGAACAAAACATCATATATTACAAGACATAATATTTGATGATTTATATTCTCTTCTATTTACTTCCACTCCCATTTCCACAATCTATCACACAAAAAAGAAAAAAAAAATACTAACGTTTCGTGGCTTATAGAAACTCAAGTCACGAAACAAAATAGAAACTCCTGTCCGAGTCAACGCGTGCATGACAACACCGGAACAGTGCCTCCCGCTGCCAAGATTTGCCTCTCAAGCTGCAATTGAGATATCAAATGCAATGACCCAATTATTACCAAGTTCGTTCTTCGTTTTCTATCTGATAATATAACAGCTTCTTTTTTCCAACAAAAATTGTTCCCACAAGACAGATTTCGACTACGTAAAAAAAGGACTTACAGTTATCAAGGCTTGAAGCTTGTTCCTCACATCGATGTATTCGCGATTCAATTGTAAAAGACACCTCATGTATCTGTAAGCATCATCAAATATCAAATAACACTTCACAATCACTTCTCATTTCAGCATGTTTCATATGTCATCATTTTTAAGCAATTGTTTTACTCATTTCTAGGAAAAGAAGAGTCAATGGCTTGAGAAAAAGCTCACCGATCGGGGCTCTTCTCGCATTGCTTTGCAAAGGAAATGCACGCATTCTTTACTCTTTGTGCACCGATGCTGAGGGCCATGAACATAAAAGGGAAATTTAATTGAAATCAGGGGAATAATTATTTGGGAACAGATATTCAAGAAAAGCCACTTCAACTCCTTACTAATGCATCTGCAACAAATTGGTTTCACATATATAGAGAATCCCAAGAATGTCATGGGAGTACTAGACCACAACTACATACTCCCACCGTCCTTGACGTGTTTGTTTGGTTTTTTTCTTTTTGGGTCGTAATGTCACAATGACGTGTTTGCCCTTAAACCAACACCACTTGTTTGATTGAAACTACCACTAATTAGAGAAAGCAAATGGAATGAAAAGTCACTAAGAGTTTGTAATTGGTGAATGGAAATGATAATGGAATTAATGGAAGGAACGTGCCGAGCACTCGAAGTGTGTCAAGTTTGCCCATTAAGAAGACCGAAGGGCCTTGAAGAGGGACGGGCCCAACAGCACACCCAAAGGCAAATAAAAATCTACACACACACAAACAACTCACCTTTACAAACACCTTATTTCTTATGAACTAGCAAATCAACCATTTGATCCAAACATATAACAAAACTGCTGACACAAGAACCTAATGCAACAATCTAAAAGCTTTATAAGTGCAGGTTGCACCAAATAGTACCTGGAACTGCTACCTTTGAGCTGGTGGACATGGGCATCAACCTGCTCAAAATCTACAAACTGTTGTTGGCTGTGGAAAAAAAACAATTATTCCATTTTAAGAAAGGCAAAACTTCAAAAAAAAAAATTGTTCTTTTTTTAGAAAAAATTAAAGGAGATTAAACAAATCTGACAAGCAATTGGCCATTTTCTGCAGGAGTATCTCAGAATCTTTAAAGAAAAGGGAGACGACTTCGACCACAAAGTCTGGGTTGGTCTCATCTTGCAATTTCTGGAGCTGCAGGAACTGGTCATCCAAAAAGCCCTAATTTTTTCACGAACCCATCGTCAGAAATCATTCAACAAAGGAACCCATACATCAGAACTGATGAAAAGTTTTGTGGTTTCAATTATTAAAAAAAAAAAAAGAATCTTGAAAACACGTTTTCAGAGTCGAAAGTGTTACAGACCTCACTATAGAGAGAATTCATGAACCCTACAAATTGGTTCTGCAGCTGAATGATGACTTCCATTGTCGTCTCCTTCCTGGAATCCACGAGATCTTCTTGGGTTATTGTAATTTCGGCATTTTGATCAGCTCTGATTCGTATATATACTTCCGAGTTTTGAAATTGACTTCGAAACACAGTGGGGCAGTGTTTTTTTTATTTTTGATTCGTGGGGTATGCATAAAGAAAGAGAGAGACTTTCCTACGTTAAGAAAAACACTCAAAAACACATTGCTGTCCTTTTTTGGGCCAAAACACATTGTTTTATAGTCTCTCATCTCGAATAAGATTACAATTTTTTTTTCTTATTTCAATAATTTTTGTTTATTTAAGTATTTTTATTGAGTATTTGATAAAATAAAATATGCTTATCTCATCTTTTTTGGTAAAACTTTTGGCATAATTTTTTAGTATTAAATTTTTATTTTATTATTGATGTACCAATTTATAAATAAAATTATTTTAAAAGACCAAAAATTTTGACTCATAACTCTAATAATTTGTAATCAAATTAGAGACAAAAGGAGTATGAACATTTTTTCAGATTATCTTTAACTAAACAAGTTTTTTTACAAAAATATTAGAATTTTCACAACGGTTAACACCATAAATAACAATCATACAATTGTGATATAAGAATATCACCAATACTGTTAATTACTCTAGTTAGTTATAGGTATAGATTCAATTTTAACCGAATCAAATTAATTAAATCTACTCAAATTAGCTAAATCTGGTATTAATTTAATTGAAGGACTACCATGCTAATGTGCACCCATATGTGCTTATACTTCAAATTCCTTTTATGTATAAACTACTTAGCTTATTGCTAAATACCCACTGGTAATGGATGAATCTTCAGACAAAAGATTTGACCTTATGACTGCAAATTCATGGAACTAATGTTCATTCAATAACTCATGTAACAAAACATCAAACAAGATCAAGTTGCATGCATATATAATATGCATAGCTGGCGCTGTCTCCTTCAAATCTTCAAATGGCCACAATATATATTACATATACTTGGTATTTGGAGGAGGTACCTTTAAATTAAATGTATATCTAATAACATGACATTCCATCACACTAAAGCTTGCTACATGACAAATCATATATTGACTTGATACCAATTCTTTTCAATAGATATACCATTATATCATTCCGTATTTTTTTTATAACGGATCAAATCATATACCTAAAATATTGCCACGATTTGACTTTTTTGATTAAATTGTGACACCTCTTGACCACGAACTAAATATAATTTAAAATGATAAAATATTACGGAGTATAAAAATTTAATATTTTAAAACTATATTTTAAAAAAAATCCAATCTTACTAAATTTATATCATAAATAAATATACTTTTTTCATAATTTACAATCAAAGAATGTCACAATTAAACCCAAAAAAAATCAAACTGTGACAATATTTTATGGATGAGGTAGTGTAATTATATAGTTTAGTGGGTGATCATGTTGATCGATCTATAATTCTACCCTCTGATCCACCCTCCACTTGGACCGATCATCATAGCTCCGTCTCATATTGTGCTCAAAATATTTGACTTCAAACGTCCCACAAATTGATGCAAGTGGGGCATAATTTAGGATAGGGATTGAGTGGGAGGATTTACCTGAAAGGTTAAAATGATAAAAAGTGTTAATTTTGCGAGGAAATTGAAGAAGGCATCCTATGCCAAAGCTTTACATTACACTACATTCAGATCAGATCGAATGAAATCAAACCAGATCAGATAAGAACTTAATAAATTCAGATCATGACCAATCAGATCAGTTGAAGAGAATATGCACTTATTAATGCATCACAACTTTAGAGTTTAGAGAGTCCAGATTTTAAATCTTTAATAATAATAATAATAATAATCATAATAATAATAATTTTAACAATAATAATAATAGTCAGTAATAATGTATAATGTAATACCGAGTATAACATACGGAGTATATCCCAATTTATTGACATGTACTAGTAACACAATTTTTATTTAACCGATGGTTAAATTTTAGTTACCCGAAGATTAATCTCTCCCACATAATGCTACCAGCCACTCTCCTTCCTAACTCACATAACCTTTATTAATTATCAATGATTTGTAACCGGCATCATCTCCTTCCTGAACCTTCTCTTAACCAGCCTTCAATGGCTGCTCCTCCTCCTTTTTCCAAAACTTGCCATTCTAAAATGCAGCTTAGAGCAGCAGGATGGCCGCCATTTGGAACCTTCCCTCCATTCTTCTTCCCCTCTCCGGCCTCCTGTCTCTCTTTCTCACCCACCCGCCCCCCTTGACCGCCTCCGCCGCCGCCGCCCCCTCCGAGCTCCTCTCCTTCCGCGAAGCCCCGGCTTTCCGCAACGGCGACGCGTGCGGCAAGGAGCTCGTCCACATCGCGATGACCCTCGATGTTAATTACATCAGGGGCACGATGGCGGCCGTGTTTTCAATCCTGCAGCACTCCACGTGCCCTGAAAACGCGGCCTTCCATTTCCTCTGGGCCCGCAACCAGCCCGAGGTCTTCTCCGCCATCAACTCCACCTTCCCGTACTTGAGGTTCGACATATACGTCTTCGACACCGCCAGGGTCCAGGGCCTCATCTCCAAGTCCATCCGGCAGGCGCTGGACCAGCCTCTGAACTACGCCAGGGTATACCTGGCAGACATCCTCCCAGAACATGTCAAGCGCGTCATCTACCTCGACTCCGACCTCGTCGTGGTCGACGACGTCATGAAGCTCTGGGAGGTGGACAATGCCGACCGGGTGCTCGCGGCGCCCGAATACTGCCACGCAAACTTCACCGTCTATTTCACGGACACATTCTGGTCGGACCAGAAACTAGTCAACGCATTCGAAGGCGGGAAACACCCCCCGTGGAGACCGTGCTACTTCAACACGGGGGTGATGGTGGTGGACGTGGAGAAGTGGAGGCGGGGGGGATACACGGAGAGGGTGGAGGGGTGGATGGCGGTGCAAAAGCAAAAGAGGATTTACCACCTCGGCTCCTTGCCGCCGTTCTTGCTCGTCTTCGCCGGGAACATAATGCCGGTCGACCACCGATGGAACCAACATGGGTTGGGTGGGGACAACATTGAAGGGAAATGCAGGAGACTGCACCCTGGTCCCATCAGCTTGCTCCATTGGAGCGGAAAGGGTAAACCCTGGTTAAGGCTGGATTCCGGGAACCCATGCAATGTTGATCATTTGTGGGCTCCTTACGACCTTTTTCGCTCTTCAAAACATTCCTTTGAAGAGTGATATGTGTGTGTGTGTGTGTATGAGTTCAAAAAATTTATTCCATTTCTGTGTACAGTTTGTTTAATGTACTATATAGATGTTAAAATTTTCTCATATATGAGTAGTCTCCATTAGCATGACTGGTGTCAATATCAATAAGACTAGAAAGCAAAGTTAAAATCATAGGAAAATGTTGTTAATAAGAGCCAAAGAAAGGATACAACTGAGTTCAAATTGATTCAAAAATCACATTTGAGTGTCTGTACCATAGGCATGGGGCAGGCTAATGCTATTTACAGCTCATGACTTTCAGCACCAAGATAGGTTAATGAAAAAGTACCGTTTGGCCCTCGCGTCTTCGTCGCACCACTGCATTTTTTTGTTACCCTCAGATGCAAAAGTGGGCCCGCCCGACCATCGAGCGATGCGAAACTTAAATCAAACACTGGAAAAAACTAAAATTGGTGTGGTGTTTAGTGGCGGAAGGCGCGGACGACCTTTTCAATCCGTCTGCGGCAGAGAGGGCACTGTGACAAGTGTGAAGAGCATCCCAAGCAACAGCACATATGCCCACAACTGAATCCAAATGCCAATGGATTAGAGGGTGTTAAAAATCTTGAATCCCTATTCCCAAAATACCCTTCATCTCAAAATGGTGATTCAGGTTCAATCATCCATAAAACTGTGCTCTCCCATTGATTACTATCTAAGAAAATGTTACTTTAACCTCAAGGATGACACCAATGTTGACACCACCAATTGCACACAGACTATCACTGTCCGTGAGAAATTATTGTCCGTAAAGCATTGGCGGTGTGCCGGTGTCAACCTTGGTGTTATCCATGATGTGACTGTAGCGTAGCATGGTCCTTCGATCTATAGCCACATTCTTGTCCAAATTCAGATAAGACAAAGCACTCCTAAAAAGACTTGAATGATAACCTATTGCACTGCCAAACAGGCCTAAGTTAAATGGTCCCCTAAATATATATTAAGATGAAGCAATTAGAAGTTTCGGGGATTTCTGCTTAAATTCAAGTGAGAGCCTTACTCAAGAAAAACAGCGTTGTATTCCTGTGCCAAACAAATCACGCATAAATCCGGCGTCATCCCATCTTTTTTACTGTCAGCTCCACTTTCCTCTTTTGCACATGCAAACATAAGCGAAGAACCATAATAAGTACCTTTTGAAAGAGTGAACGGTTTAGGAACAATAAAATGGTTGGAAAAAAATCCAACCAACAGTATACCTTCATTCTCTTTTCCAGATTTCTTAGCTACAGCAGCAAGAACCCTACAAGATAAACCGAGAGCAGATCAACCGTTTGTCCTAGTCAGAAACGAAGTAAAATCCCACAAGACGTAGGGTCTGTGGAGGGTGTGTGTACGTAGTCCACTAGTCCTTACCCTTACCCTACAGACTAGGGTAAAAAATGCACCAGCATAAGCCACAAACTAAGGCCCAAAGGTCTACCCAACTACTCTAATCCTGGTTCTCCAGACATCCCTATCTCAGGCAAAATGAAGTAATAAATGTGATTTGAACTAAGTTCGCGTTTGGATTGACATGAAATCGCCACCAAATTCCTGATAATCTTTCAAAACCCATACATCATACCTCTTGCGCATTTCCGAACGGCGTCTTCTTTCCATAATGTACTGGAAAGCGTGTTTTACAAGCAGGAAAACACCAAAGGCCGTAAATCCCATCGAAGCACACTTGTACCACCTGAAAAAAATAAAATGAAAATGCTTGTCGAATACATTTACAAGTTGTGAGTGTTAGTAAAAATTCAACACATGTTTTACCTTGCCCATCTCCCAAGATTATTCACGAGCTGATCAATTGTTTTAGGAGAAACATAAAATGGGCCTTTGCTGGGCCGTTGGATCCGAATTGTCCCTATATCATCCTTAACCGCCTGATGAGAGCAAAAGAGAATTTCAAACATGGAAAACACCATACCACAAACCTAGTGTCTTAAGGCAGTATTGCTTTTAAGTTACTAAAGGTGTGTTTGGAGGAGAGGTTTGGTGGGGGTGTGGAACGAAATGATTTGGAGGGCTTAGCCGAAATGTTATACGATAGCATATTAGTTTAAACTTTTAACATACCTCACCAACAACTGTCAAGGGTGTGCCAACTGGAAGGACCCGTTCAACTCTCCTCACTCCAAGCATCTTCAAGAGAAGCATTTTTAGGGTCAATTAGTTACACTAATAATCTGATAGGATTGGAATGAACAACACACCTTAAGACCTTGAAGATAATCAAACATCCCCCGTCCAATTGATCGCCCCGCTTCTTCAAACACTTCACTGGCAACAGTCAATACCAAACCTTTGGCCCCTTGGGCCCCAACTATAAATGCCCGACCCGTGCCATCATCCTATTCACAAAACATACACCTTAGAAAATGAACTCTGTTCCTTAGAAAATGGTCTCTCTCTAAATAAATGCAGCACAAATTATTAAGGCTGTGTCTGGAAAGCATACAATGGTAGAAACACAGGTTGTTTATGTTTGCCTTTACCTTAGAACATACAAAAGAAACTCGTCATTATAAAACCTTTTAAAATTCAGATATGTTTAGTATTTATGCAACAACAACAACAACAAAAAAACAACATTGTCAAGAATGACTCTTTTTGCTCCGTTAGCAATGGTTTCTTTAGTACGGAGTACTTGTAAAATAGAAATACAGTATATGAATACCTAAAATTGATTTATTGAGTTTGAACCAATCCCCCCCCCCACCCTCTATTTTCCACCCTATGTCCATCTTATCATTTTCCAAGTTTCCAACATACACAGCATTAAGACCTCACCAAATACCATGGAACTTCGTTACATGTTGAAAGCATTAAAGCAGAATCCTGTATCCATGAGCCAGCATCGTTGTGTTTAAGAAACTGCCGCTCAGCCTGCAATAATATCAAATGTAATTAATTACATCCAGCACAATCACCCACTCAAAAAAATCAAAATTAATTTCACTTTGAAAATAATACAGAGTAATAGTTTTTGTACTGTTTCTTCGACAATTACTCCACGTAAGCCACTCTTGCAGCTGATTGGTGTATCTGAAGCAACTCTTCCAGAGATTGTGACAACCAAAGGCAATACCTTTGAAGCGGTATCAAATAATTGCGCTAAAAAGAATATGCAACAGAAACAATAACTGAATGTTAATACATTTAGAATTCTTAGGACCTTAGATTTTGGTTATACTGTAAGAAAAGATAAATTTTCTACCAATGAAAAATCTGGAACTCGCAGGCTAGGCCATGTTTGGAATGCAGAAAATGGGGGCAGGAAAGGGAAAACTGCCAAGTCAAATTGTATTTTTAAATGTTTGATTTAACTTGGACAACATGGGGGGAATGACAAATTTAAAACTTATGCCCGCCCGCCCCAAGCAAATTTATACTTTCAGTTTTAGTTCCTCTCAATATGAACTCCGTGAGGTCAAAGAATTCTTAATTTTTTATAAAGTAAAAATATATAAATTAAATGAGATTGTACAATTATTTAAAATTGCTTGATTAAGAATGAATTTATAGTCTGTTTTCCCCAACTTTTTTCATCCATATTTCTCCTATGAGTGAGTCCAGATAATCGGATTCTAACAGGTTTAATTTGATAAATGGCATCCTGCAATGAGCTTTACACTTTGATTTCACAAAGTTTAAGAAAAGTGTCGACATGTGAAAAGTGTGGTCGACAGTTGTTAAAACGAGAGAAAGGTAAAGTTTATTTCAGGACGGACATAAAATGAAAGTATACACTTCATTTTGGAACGAAGGGAGTATTAACTTTATGGTTTCTACAATGCAAGACTAACTCTATCAACTAATCTGTAAATAGCAAAAACTTGAAGCTTTTCATAAATAACTGAAACTCTATGCGTACCCAACTCCTTCAAATGATTGACCCTAGCAGCGGATTTCAAAGCCTCTGCATCCCTGCACAGTTTCATATGGTTATACACTGATGGATTAATAACTTTAACGAATTGCTCTAAACAAAAAAATAAGGTAAACTGATCAGACCTTCCAGTGCTTCTCCCAAGCAGATAAAGGGCAGCTGCACTCAAACAGCATGTCACTCCACCCCAAGGAGACATCTTTTTACCAAAGATCAAACAAAAATCCCAAACCTCAGGTCAAAAAATCAAAACAAAAATAAAAAAAAATCAAGTTTGAAAATCTATCTGCAAGATATAACACAAAAAAATATGTTCGAAAACCCCTGGTGTTAAATCCAAGAAAAATTAAACAACATATGGGGAGTGTGTCTGATTCCTGTGGGCGAAAAGGAGGTGCGATGGAAGGGATAAAGATTGGGTTTTTCGGGAAATTACCGGGTGTGTGTGGAAATCAAAATCAAAATTGCGAAATAAGCAAACCCATGACAAATTGTTTTTTGGAGATTGGAGACGGCGAGACGCTGGTATAGGTGCCAAGAGTGAAGAACAGGATCAAGGTAACAAAGATGCGATGGGTGGACTCGGACTGGATGATCTAACGGGAACTCGACCGGATTGCACAAGAGGATTATTGGATTAATAATTTACCCTCTGTAAAAATTTCTTTTTTTTACCATCTACAAAAGTCGTATAAGGTTAATCACTGAAGAGTTGCGAAACATTAATTTAAAGAGTTGCAAAAAATTTTACTCATTGACTTTGCAATATCAATTGTATAGTAGTATAAGGTTAATCATTGAAGAATTGTGAAAAATCATTTTAAAAACAACTGTAGATTAGGAAATAAAGTCGTAATGAAAGTTTACACAACCTAAATCATTTATGTATTATTTCATACACGATTATGCTTGAAGTTTGAAATAATATAATTTTTAATAGTTTATGTATTGTTATGATTATAAATAAAATTTAAGACCAAACATTGTCATTTATAAAATTCTTTTTTATTAAATCAATATTTACTTACGATTAATTTTATATTGTTGGTTTCACAAGTGAGAGTAAATGCAGGGTTGAAAATATTAGTTTTATATGCTTTCGGTAGTCTTTATAACATGAAAAAAAAATATTGTATACCTCAAAAAAGTTTAAAATATTCTAATTTAAATAACACTTTGTCTTATTAATTTTCAAGTATGTATAGTAGAATTTTCATTAACAAGTGTTATATGGTTAATCATTATTTTAACTTTTAAGATCGATGTTTTATTTTGTTTGATTTTTAAAAAAATATTGTAGCAAAGATAAACAATAAAATAAAAAAGAATTCACTTCACCGCGTGCACGACACATGTTAAAATATCAGTTATTGTTAAAATGAGTGTAATAAAAATAAATGATATCCTTTTTAAAATGGAACAATGGTATTAGAGGGAGTAAATGTAATACAGGCTTAAAAGTAATGTGGAGTAAGAACAAGAACTTGTTATCTTCATTTGATATGATATAACTTGGTCTAATTTTATCTAATTTTGATCTGATCTGATTCTAATAAAAATAAGTAACTTAAAATAAATTGACGACAACAAATTTTAAATTAAGGAGAACAAAGTCTAATTTACAATGGTAAAAAAAGTTTAATTTACAAAAATGGCACGATGGGCTTTTCAAACGGAAAAATAGTACGAAGAGGCCCAGCCCATACAAACGAACTCATTCTGAACGCCGTCGTCCCGAGACTCACTCCTTCACACCACTGTGATGATCCTAAAACCCTCGTATTCCATAGCCGGAGACGTATAAACCTCTGAAATCTCCTCCCTCCACTCTCGCATTTCTCAGCTCGCAATATCCATGGCGTCGGTTGCCTTCAGAAACCATGGCTCGAAGCGTATCCTCTCTCTGTCTCCTCAAATCTACTCCTGCTGCCGGGGATCGGTTTCCGCTCAGCTCTCGCTCTCCGAATCCGCGCCTCACAGCGAGATTCCTTCATTTTCCAATCCATGGTGGAGATCCATGGCCACTTTTACTCGAACGTGAGCTCTGCCTTCCTCTTTCGCCGCACTCACTGCCGGTTCACTTCAAAGCGTGTTCATTTTCTGTTTAAATCTCGTTTGATCGCGATGTTTTAAGTGCTTGCTTATATGTTGATCCTGTTTGATGTCTGAGCCTTTGAATCTTGTCAATTGATCGTATTAAGACGGTTTTGTATTGTGCTGTGTTCTAATTGGGAAGGAAGAAGGTGAATTTAATTTTGGCCAGTTGAGTTAGGTCTTTCTATTTGGTGATGCAGAAAACCTCATGTTAATGTGGGAACAATCGGGCATGTCGATCATGGAAAGACTACCCTTACCGCTGCGATCACAAAGGTCTCTTGCGTGCTCTATAAAGATCTGACTTATCTTTAAGATTTTGCTATGAGACAATTTTCCGCTGCTGTCCAGGTCCTAGCTGATGAGGGAAAGGCTAAAGCTGTTGCATTTGATGAAATTGATAAAGCTCCTGAAGAGAAGAAAAGAGGAATTACGATTGCAACGGTTGGCTCTTCGTTCACTTCTCAGTTAACATTACATAAACTTATCTAACATTCCTAGCTTATCTATGTTTACTGTATTTTTTTGTTGCAGGCGCATGTCGAATATGAGACTGCCAAAAGGCACTATGCTCATGTAGACTGTCCTGGTCATGCTGATTATGTTAAGGTGGGAATGTCTGAAAAATCCAATTTTCTTTCTTCTTTTTTTGCAAAATAGTGAAATACACTAAAAATTAAATGTGGTCACTCCTATGTAACGTGCATATGTAAAAACAAATTCAATGTCGTCTATATTCTAGAAACAAGGACATCATGCTTGAGCCATAGGCACTTTGACTCTAGTTTATATGTATAGGAAATTGTATGAGTATAACTTGCATACAATCAATAAAAAGTTCTTCTCTTGAATATCTTGGGCTTCATATCTTATTATTCGTAGTTATTCAAAATCTAACTGATATATCATTTTCTAAATGATATCTGTTATTTATTTCTAGAACATGATTACTGGAGCTGCACAAATGGATGGGGGCATTCTTGTTGTATCAGCGCCGGATGGACCTATGCCTCAAACAAAAGAGCACATTTTGCTTGCACGTCAGGTGATATATCTACTTGTGGACGGGATGCCCTAAACATCATCTGGCTATTACAAAACCTTCTTTCTATGTGGTTCAGGTTGGTGTCCCATCACTTGTCTGCTTTTTGAACAAAGTTGACGCTGTTGACGATGAAGAGCTACTTGAACTTGTGGAAATGGAACTCCGTGGTAAGATGGAAGTTTAAACATTTTGAACTATATTGCAACACATGTTTTTATGCATTGGTGAAACATGAGCCTTCTAACTCTTTTTTTTATAATAATCTTGTAGAGTTGCTTAACTTTTACAAGTTTCCTGGGGATGACATCCCCATTATTCGAGGTTCTGCCTTGTCAGCTTTGCAAGGTACAAATGATGAAATAGGAAGGAAGGCAATTCTGAAGTTAATGGATGCTGTAGATGAATATATTCCTGATCCTGTTCGTCAACTTGATAAGCCATTCTTGATGCCAATTGAAGATGTTTTCTCCATTCAGGTAATAAAATAATCTGTCAAGTGGTTTGTAATCTCTTCCTAAGTAGCCTTTATTCAGTTACAGTGTTGTATACATACCTTGGCAGTATCGTTAACAGTAAGGCAAACACATGCTTTATCTGATACCAAGTAATTATTAAGCCTACATTTGTTTGTGTATGTTGCAATTGTGAAGGGACGTGGAACTGTGGCTACTGGCCGTGTTGAACAAGGAACTATTAAAGTGGGAGAAGATGTGGAGATCCTGGGGCTGATGCAGGTGAGAGTTCGTTAGTTTGATAACTACTCTGTAGGTCTTAAAATGTTGCTTATGTTAATACAGTTTTTATACGGATGGGGTTTAAGCTGTTCTCTTTATACCATGATTCCCATGACTGCTATGTATGCTCTTAAATTGAATTTTTAGATTACCCAACTGCTATTATGACTCGTGACACATTGTGTTGATCCTTTTGGTATAGGGAAACTTGAAAAGTACAGTAACTGGAGTTGAAATGTTCAAAAAGATCTTGGATAATGGACAGGTAATTAACTGATGATTCATCTATGTTATAGGTCAAAAAATCTGCATGCGGAAAATAATTGCAAATTTGTTTCTTATCATTTTAGGCGGGTGACAATGTTGGTCTTTTGTTGCGTGGTTTGAAACGTGATGATATTCAACGAGGAATGGTCAGTTACATTTTTATTTATCTAAGTTAACATTGCAATGTTTTTCAAAAAAAAAATCCGATGTTTCCTTAAGTTGCTGTGTATCAATCTATCAGGTGATTGCAAAGCCAGGAACAGTGAAAACATATAAGAAGTTTGAAGCAGAGATTTATGTACTTACTAAGGATGAGGGTGGCCGCCACACCGCATTCTTTTCAAACTATAGGCCGCAGTTCTACTTAAGGACTGCTGATATCACGGGTAAAGTGGAATTGCCCGAAGATGTAAAGATGGTCATGCCCGGGGATAATGTGACTGCTACTTTTGAGTTGATCTCTCCCGTTCCACTGGATAAAGGTACTTAACAATTGCTGAAGTTCGGTACAATAGTTTGTGGTCTTAAAGTAGGGCTTGTGAAATGGCAAACCAAATCAAACCCAAACTGACTTTTGGTTGTTCAGTTTGTGCCTTTGCGGTTCAAGGTTTAGGCTTTAAAAACAAACCCAATCAAACCCAACCGGGCTGTCTGAAACCAGCCAAAGCTGACCTCCAAACGTTACTACAAAAGCCAACCAAACTACAACCAATCTCAGTTTTGCATTTTACAAAACCAGAAACTGACCACAAACACTCGTAGTTAAAAATTGTTGCATAGCCCCAGCACAAGTGGGCTTCAACTCATGGTCGATTTACTTCGTTTCATAGTAATAATACGACAAACATTTGACCGTATGTTTTTCATTTTGAAGGACAACGATTCGCCTTGAGGGAAGGTGGTAGGACTGTTGGTGCAGGGGTTGTTTCAAAAGTAATAAGCTGAGGTGCACATGCCATTAGAGTTCTGGATTCCCTATCCTTTTTTTTGTCTTTTCCGAAGAGGATCGAGCAAAGGAATATTTAAGAGTACAATTGGATGGTTAACATTGTACTCTCATCTAGCTCTTGATTATGTGCAAGGCAATTCTCATGATGTGAAATTCATGATACTGAAGATTATTTTTTTTTCTTCATTTCTTTTAGCATTTTACTATAGGTCTTGAAGTAGCAATTTCTCGAGTATTTACTACGCTTCATCAGTGAATAAGTACAACTTTTCTTTCAGTGTTTTGGGTTTATTAACTTTTGTTCAAGCTTTCTGAAATTTGAATAGAGTGATCCCTTATGTACCATTATGATTTGCGTGTTAACTCTTCACATATTTTAATGTCATGTGGAAATAAGTTTTCATATTTGATCTGAAATAATTATTAAAAATTGTGAAATATATCTGTTGAAATTAATGCCGAAAAGAGGTACGGAGTAGTATGGATCACATCATTACAACAAACTTAGTACTCCCTCCGTCCCGTTTTATAACGCCTGTTTCAGGTTACGATGTTTGACTGAAATTATTTTCAAATCATTTTATATGACAAATGGTATATAGTTAAAAAATAAAAATTACATACTCCTTCCGTCCGGAAATAATCTTCTTACTATACCTTTTTTTTCGTCCGGAAATAATCTTCCTACTCTACGTTTTTATCAACACTCTTCCAAAAATATCCTTTTCATTAATTGGCATTCTCTCTTTCATTTTATCTTCCTTTTTTTATTTCTTCTCTCTCGGCCCTTATCTCCTTCACTTTATCTTCCAGATCCGGCCACTTCCTCTCTTCTCTTCCTCTCATTCTTCTTTAATTCTTCACCCCCCTTCTATCTAGGGGTGTAAACGAACCGAATCGAAGCGAATACCGATGTATTTGAATTTGTATTTGTTTAATTTTTTTGAATACGAATCCGAATCCGAATATGAGACGAATTCAAAATAAGATTTGAATACGTATTTGATTAATATTCGAATAGTTATCGAATCATAAACGAATATTTGAATAATCATACTATGTAATTTATATGATGGACCAACATCAATTTGTAATTTAACTTACGATACTCTTTATACTATACTATATTCCGTATATAAAAACATTAATACATCTGCATCTTACACAAACTATATTTTATAAAATATAACTATTAAAAATCATATGCTTTAGATTTTCGTGTTACGTTAATTTATTGAATTCTTAGTATTTTAAATACACTTTATACTATATTACTTTGCTTGACTTTTGATGTTGAAAACATGGTCTGTGTATATATACATATATTCGAATATTCGAATATCATCCGAATCGAATATATCCTTATTTGAATTTGTATTTGATTAATATTCGAATCAAAAATAATATTTGAATTTGAATTTGTATTTGAATAACGCGAATTCGAATCATCATATTCGAATACAAATCGCGAATCAAATTTAAAATATTTGATTTGTTTACATCCCTACTTCTATCACATCCCTCTTTCTCTCAAATTGGCTCCTTCTTTTCTTCTTCTTTTTCCCTTTCGTTCTCTGGGTGTTCTTCTCAGATCTGTAGTAGATCTATGCAGATCTACGCCATTATTATCAACATCGTCATCTTCTTCTTCTCCTCTCTCTCCCCTTCACTTCCTTTCTATTTCTCCCAGGTATGGTGATGGTAGGGTTGACGGTGATGACGGCGGGGCTGAGTCGATGGTGGTGGGGGTTGGCGGTGACGGTGAGGCTGTGGCGATGGTTGTGGGGGTCGGCAGTGATGGTGGGTCTGGAGTGATGGCGGTGGGGGACGAAGATGGATGGTTGATAGTGATGATGGACTGACAGCCGCGGCAGGGGCGGCGATGGGGCTGGTGATGGTGGGGGTTGGGGCGGCGAAGAAGTCGACAGTGGCAAGTGCTAGCGGAAATTGGTAGTTGCGCTAGTTGTGGGCCTGTAAATCAGAATTGATACCAAGGGCAATTCAGTCAAATTACACTCATATTCAACACCCACTAAAAATAAGGAAAAGTCAAAGTAGGAAGCTTAATCCCGGACGGAGGGAGTATTAAAATACTACATCAAAAGATCTACAAAACTAGTAGTGACAATAATACTTTATTTTATCAATTTGCTAACGAAAATTGAGAAAGAAAGTGAATGAAGTTTGACTCTGTGAATAGTGAACATGCATTATAATTTGGGACGGAGGGAGTATGATTTTACAAAAAGTAGAATTTGGAATTTTGGATAGTGTGTACATAGATTTTATACCTACTCAAACAGGCTAGGGGTTTTTAAGAGATCTTGACTCAAACACGAATAACCATAAACACAATAGTACAAATAAAATAAGACATAAATGTACCGGGTTAAAAAAAAGACATAAGCACAACACACATGTAAGCTGACATAAATGTTTATAAGCTGTTTATCCGTCAGAAAAAATAAGGTCTTACTACTTTTTTTTAAATCAGTTCTTTTGTTCCTCCGTTTTGACTTAGATTATTTACAAAATTGCTTCTCACCATTTATGAATATTTACAAATGACTTATGTATCGTCTAAGTCAGTTTATTTTCACGAAAGAATATTAACTTATAAGCAACTTATAAGTTAAAAGTTGTTTATCAACAATAAGCCAAAAAGCACCGACACAGAAAGACACTCGAGTTACAAACCAAAGTCTAAAAGTTTATCCAATATGAATCACTCAATTAAATTTAATCATGCTAGCTTTTTGGTGAGTATCACGTTGATTTTGTGTTGAAATTTAATTAGGATGATTAATGTTTTACTAAAATATTCAGGTGAAAATTATACTAATTATCCGTATAACTGAAAGAATACCCATTTAGAAATTGGCAAATTACACGAGTTCGTAATAATATATTCATTTCCTTGTAATATTACATTATTTTTATTTTTCCCAAATTTCTACTTTTGGATTATTTTTTTCTCCAAAACATATGGGTGTTGATTTACAACAAAACAAATGCTCAAAAAGCCAATTGGCTAATATAACTTGCTACACAGTTCTTGTCATCCACAACGCAATGGGGTATCAAACAAACCTCAGCACTGCAACAGCCATTAATGCAACAGCTCTCAAGTAAATTTGCTTTACATCTTTGTCCAGTTTGCCCAACAGCTCCCCTTCTCTCATACCCAATTTGCTTGAGCTTTTGGTTATTGAGATCACAGTGTCCCTTAAACTGTTCACGCCCCAAGATAACCAAACAAGACCCATGCCTAAGCCGGTGTTGAAGACTGCGGATGATGCTGACATGGCAACCCCTCTTCCGGCTGCTACTTTGCACGCGCTAGACAGAAAGACGGAGAGGGCAGTACCGGCAATGGCAGCAGATAAGCGGGTCAGAAGGCGGGGAAGATCATTGCCAGATTTCTTGAGGGTCTGTTTGGAACCCAGAAAATGTTAGGAAGAAAAAAAGGTATGTGGTGGAAAATTGGAAATAACTCTGTTTATCTATTTCTATAATATACATAAAACTTTGAAAACACTAGTCATATTTCAATTCCTTGTCGATATTTGATTGTTTTCCTTTATGTGGGCAATTTGTGGGATCCAAACATACCATAAGTGAAGTGAGGATCGTTGTCCCACGCCGCTGCTTGTCCACCAATATGGAAAGAAGGGTTTCAAACGCATGGAGAGTGTTGTTTCTGTAAAGATCTCTTTCCTTCATTTGTTGTTTCTTGTTCCTCTTCGTTTTCAGAGACTTTTTGTCCTTTGATTTTTCGGGACTTCAAAACATTGAGCAATATATATAAGGAACAGGGGAAAAAATATTCTTGTTACAAAAGATTTAAAATAAATTGGAGAAGGTGACTGCAAGATGGACATGTGGATTGCATACCTTGTTAGAGATGCAACAGATTTCACAGATTCAGGTTCTTGAGCTGAAGACTTAACCTTTGCTTCCCTGGTCATCCTCCTGGATTGAGAGTGAAAGCCGATAGAAAATGACGGAGAAAGAAAATAGGTAGGGGAAGTAAAAAGAAAGAAAATGTTGGAAAAATAAACATCGGTTCAAACTCAAAAGGTTCATTTTAGATATTTGTTCAAACTAATTTATTTATCATTTTCTATTATATGAAAATAAAAAGTATGAACGTATTGAAACTTTTTACACCGTTAATCACATTTCTATTATTTTTTGCGTTTTCCAATGCATGCCCAAACAAAAGAAAGTAACTTTCATTATAAATGTTTTCCTTTCCCTAGCGGCCTAGCATTTCCCATGGTCCAAACTCCAAACATACCCAATGAAGACACGAAGAAAGAATCAAGATATTTTGTCCAAAAAGTCAGGATAGTAATTACTACCTCCGTCCCAGAGTATTTGTCCACTTTCATTTTTACACACCATCCAATACAATTCTTTAATCCATTTTATCTTGTAATTTGTATATTAAAAAATTATAGAAATTATATATTAATAATCTATATGTTAAGACAAATCAAACAAGATCACACATGACTATATTTAGGCTTACACATTGAGAGAATTTGATGAGTCAAAGTGCTTAGATGAACAGTTCCAAAAGTCAAAACTGGACGAATACTCCGGGACGGAGGGAGTATGATTTTCACTATGAACGAATGTATGCAAAGTTTATTAAGCAAGAACCACTTCTCAAGCTCTGGTCCGTGTGATGTGCCTTGCCTTGTGCCTAGAGCTTTTCAGAACATCGACTGTTTTTCTGATAAGGTCCGGTGTGGTTTGATATTATGTAAATTTTATTATTATGAGAATCATAAATGTGTCATACAGTTATGAACAACATGCGAAAAAGAACATTGAAGACCAAACATATATATTTAGCCATAAATACCTGTCAAAATAGGGAACCAGCATCGGCTGCTTTCGACTGTTGGCTGCATTCCAATTCTTAAACTGGTAATGCTCAGACATAGTAGAAAGTATATGATTCATATCACTCCGAGATAGTTGACGAGATAGTTGACCAAAAGAAAGAGGATTAATTCTTTGGTCAAAGACCCCCACAACATCTGAAGGTGGAATATGAAGGGAGGATGAACTGCTTGGGTATATAAAAGCTGACTGAGGCTTAGCAAGACAAGAAGCAGTTTGCCATTGAGGCACACCAATAGCAATTGCTTGTGGGTCCAATATTTCAGTTGAACCAGATACGATGTATCTACAAATCTGTTCGTAGTTTATGCACTGGTCATCCACGCAGAAGCTGAAGATCACCGAGCCGGAATGAGATTCATCTGTTAACCATATAAAATAGTACTCCCTTGGGTTCGTCATTTTGAAATTAAAAAAACACCCATTAAGAGATTACTAAATGGAGAAAAACTTTACCATATCACCCCTTACATCAAATTATAAAGATTAATTTTGCATAGAAACTTTAAAAATCAGAACGATTAGCATTAAATACTTTCTTGGTTTTGTAAAAAGGATATGTTGCGAGACAATTTTTTCATCAAAACAACACTTACTGTGAATCAGATAAAACATACCCCATAAATATCGTGAGAACATCGTGAGTAATAGCATTTTCTCTTCAACTTATTCTTTTTACTTATTACTAATTATTATTGGAATTATATCAGAAACATCTTTAAATATAACTACAATCGGATTAGAACTTCATCGAATCAAATCAGAACCAATCACATAAGGTGAAGAGAACAAGCTCCAAATAAACAAAAGTGAAGATGTAGAAGCAATAAGAGCTTAGGACCTTGAGCATCAACTAGAAGAGGCCTCGAGGTGTGTGCATTCATCTGCATTATTTTTTTAGCATTCAATAACGCGCTCATGGGTTTCCAAATGTCCTCTTTTTGCTGCAACTTTAGGTTAGCTGAACTTGACTTGAGCATCTCTAGGTTTGTTCCATCTCTGGGGATGAAAGGCACGTGCTCCTTTAACAAAAGGGGCAGAAAGAATAACAATATCAGGTGGCGTCATTGACTCAAAATATTTATTCATACTTTCAGCAACAACAAAAAATATACATATTGAAAACATATCCTAAACAAATGCTCCAAGTTACGGTACAACTGTTAACTAACGTAGGGAAGTTTTACTATAAACTTTCCAGTATAGGCTCATTAGAAAAAAGTATGTAATATGGAGCTTTCACATAGTTTACCATCATCATCATCGTGTAATACCCCGTGTAAACATGGAATTAAAAAAGAGCTCAATAGGACTGATAGCACTACTCATATTGACAAGATAACATCTTCTTTTCGAGAGCTCGTCACCTAAAAACTCCAAATTTAAGCGTGTTGGACTTGCAACCATTCTAGGATGGGTAACCCGGGAGTGAGGACAAATTGCACAAGAAAAGCTTGTGTTGGTTTATGGGGTCAAGTCTATAATCCTATAGAGCAGACACTTCCTGGGTGTTACATATCATCTCACAACATTGGCTGGAAAGTCAAAACGAACCAAGCTGAATTCAAGTATTTGTAGAGCCAAGTTCGAGTAGTTTTCACAGGTTTTTCACAGGTACTCAAAAATCAAGCAAACGGTGATCTAAATCAATTGCGTTCATTTAACTACACTAGATATGAAATCGCAACCCATCAGAAGCGATCAGAGAACAATGGATAATTGAAGAACAGAAATTTATTTTTAAAAAAATGTAATCTTTATACCTTAAACAGCAGCCTGGCAGTGCCTTGCTCCAGATGCTGGGGGAGAAGAAGCCAAGGAGAGAAGCCGCGAGAAGCCATGACACAGGCAGCCATTCTTTTCCCCTTTTTTCTTCTTTATCGAATTAAAGAAGACAAACCCTCTGGGCGGGTCTGTGGCTTCTGATACTCACAGCTGTTGTCGTCTCCGCCGAGTGGGGACGGAGGGGTCAAATCATCGGAATCTTGGGGCTTATCTGCACCTCAATTTTCCCACTGTGGTTCAAACTTCTCACACTCATTTATGGTAGGATTATGCGTACTCCAAGTTTTGTACCTCAATTTGTACACTTTGTGTTGGTGTAAATCATCGAAATGTTTGTGCAAACATGTGGTGTACAAATGGGGTATATTTTTTGGTGTAAGTGTAGCATGGTCCTTTATGGTAACTTGGCGTCGAGACTGATGCATTCAACTTCATTATAAAAAAATAATGTTACTTATACATAAAGTTGGTAAAACAGTCGGTCAGTTCGGGTTCGATCATCTTGAGTTCAAGTTACTTCGAGTTCAGGCAAGTTCGAATTCGGCTTGAGAGCTACATGTTCATATCTCAATGTCATTGGATTCGAGTCGACCCAACGGGTTCTAACTTTCATTTATTTTATGAAATTTTATGTAATTTTTATAACCGATTATCAATATTACGAATAAAAAAATAAATATGCATAAAATTTTTTTTTAAAAAAATATAATATGCGATATCATTAAAATTTAGTGTGAAAATATAAATTTATACACTAAAAATGAGTAGAAAGCAAAGAAATAAAACTAAAATCTTATTTCTATAACATTATAATATATATTAAAGCATATGATTTTGAAAAACTCTTACATTAGCGAGTCGGTCAGGTCGGTTTCGGGTTCGATCGGGTTTGTCCCATTTTTAATGGGTAATTTCGAGTTAGATAAAAAACTTCAAGTTTACTCAACAAAATCTTTGTTCAAAACCCAATATTTTTGGGTCGGGTTTCGGGTGAAATTACAGAAATAGTTTTCTTAAATTATTTCTTAAACTACAAAAATAGTTTTCTTAAATTTTATAATACTCCGTATCAAGTTATGTCGATTAATTTCGGTCTTCAGACATTACCTCTTTCGTTTCAAAAATAGATTGCAGGTTACTGGGATGATCTCACGATAACTTTTGTTTTTTTCTTATTTTTATTAGATATTTTGATAAAATAAAATATTTTTATCATCACTTATATTGTAAAATTTTGATACAAACTTTAAATATATAAACTATATTTTTATTTATACATCAATTAATAAATAAATTAATTTTAAAAAGCACAAGATTTTGTATATTTTGTGTTATCTAATTCAAGATGGTGGGACTTGGGAAGAGCGTCAGAGTTTAGAGTTAGAGATTAGAGTTAGAGATTAGAGTTAGAGTTTAGCTGTTTGCATCAGAGTTAGTGATTAACTGTTTGATTCTTATCGTTTGGCGGTTCCATATTTAAAAAAGCTTATGCATGGTAAATTACTAAACTACCCAATTGAACATGTACTTTTGTATTTTAAAAGTTAGCTTATTTTGCATTGTTCTCGTGATTATTTTTACATTTGTTATTATAATTTTTTATTTTTAGGTTAGCAAGTTGTTAAAATATATATTTTTTTAGAGGGAATCATTAAGAAAAAATGATTTATTATACTTTTAGAATAGAACAACAGAGTAATAGTTTAGTAGACCGTAAGAACTAAACATTATACTCCCTCCATCCCACTCTCTTTGTCCACTTTCGATTTTTGGAACTGTTCATCTAAGCACTTTGACTCATCAAATTTTCTCAATGTGTAAGCCTAAATATAGTCATATGTGATCTTGTTTGATTTGTCTTAACATATAGATTATTAATATATAATTTCTATAATTTTTTAATATACAAATTACAAGATAAAATGGATTAAAGAAGTGCATTGGATGGTATGCAAAAATGAAAGTGGACAAATAGTCTGGGACGAAGGTAGTATTTTTTTAAAAAATAAACTTAATAAGCTCTTAGAAATGATTGCATTTCGAATTTGATAAAAAAATCAAACATTGACTCTGTATCTCACCAAACTGTCTGCTATTTCATTTCTAAGCAAGTTCATTTGTGTTTCATTGGTGCCACTGCGATGATTAGTATAACTTTCTTCATTATCAGAATCTTCCTCGAACTCATCATCTTCGTCTTCAAATTTAGAAAAATCAGAATCTCTGCTACAGCATGTCGTCGTATGTAGTTATGCAAAGCCATACAAGCAATCACTATTAATACTTGTTTAGGAAACGGATAATTTGTCATGATTTTTAACATAGCCCATTTATTTTTTAAAACTCCAAATGCTCTTTCGATCACACTTCGTAAGGAGGAATGAGCTTTGTTAAATATCTCTTCTTTGCCTGATACTGGTCTTCCTTGTCGAAAATCTGATAGATGATATCTCTCTCCTCTATAAGGTCCCAAATAACCAGGAATCTGAGGATATCCAGCATCTACTAAATAATATTTTCCTGTAAGACATAATTATGTTATCATTTACACAAATATTACATTAATATATAAAAATATGAACATTTTTAAATATAAAACATTAAAATAAATATATATATGTTTTTGTACCAGGCGGTGGATGTGGGAATTTCCATTGTTCTTGACGTAGGGCCTTATAAAAAACATTTGCATCATGAGCAGATCCTTCCCAACCTGCTAGTACAAAAGTAAAACACATATTAAAGTCACATACAGCCATCACATTTTGTGTTGGCACCCCTTTTCGTCCGATGTATGGCAATTGGTCTAAAACAGGGATGGAAGCTGGAATATGTGTACCATCAATTGCACCAATACAATCCTGTAATATTATAAGTAAAAATAGTTAAGCATTAAATATTTTTATGCTTCACTTAAAATGCGTGGCATGAATTGCATCAATATATATATATATATATCTGTATTTACCTTAAAATGCGGCATAAATCTGCGATCTTTTTTTATTTGTTCTGGGGTATCTCTAAATTGGCGATCAGATGGTTGAATCACATCAGAAGCCATGCTTATAATGCTTTCTAATGTCATATTAAAGTATCTGCTAACTGTTTCACCAGACCTTTGAAAGCGTTCTTGAATTTCTCTATTTGACTCTCCATGACCCAATATGTATAAGAACATTGCAAGTGCTTCCATTGTTGACATATTAATTGAGCCGCATAGTTCGTACTTACTTTCCAAAGTATGAAGTAAACTTAGAAATATATCCTTTTCCATTCTAAATGCATTATAAAATCTTCTATCATGACCATCTAGGAGCTCTTTAACCCATGTCTCACCACTTTGCTTTGAAGTGAAACAAGGTCTTTTGAGAATATATTTTCGATAGTACTCTTGAACATGCTCCATTAATAAGGTTCCTGAATGTGCCCATTTCATATCACCATTCAGAATGACTTGTAATTCACATTCTTCCGTTTCCCCATCTTCTGTGACAGCTTGATCATGGATCTGCCATATTATTTCACAAGAAATATATCTTGAGTCAGCTGATTTACAACATGATGTATATCTTTCAATATAATCTTAATACATAACATCATATATATCCATAAAGAAGAAATATAAATATAATTTCATAGGCACAACCAAACACACCAAGCCATAGTAAAAAACGAGATGTCTAGCCAATTAAGACAAATATAAAAATCAAATATCTTATTCTAAACGAGATGTCTAGGCAATTAAGACTGTTGAAAAGAAATTAAGTCACCATGTTATAGTTCTCCAACATAGAAAACAAAACCTTACACACCTACGAAGAAAAATTGAAATGATTGTTTCCTAATAAACTAGTAAAAGTCTGAGCTTCATTCGTTGTTGCTTCACTTTCTTCAACTTTCAAATACCATAGTCTAGAGTCATAATGGTTTAGAGCCATAAACATTTCACGTTTGTCCTTGTTCAAGAAGAGCTTCGTTGCAAATTGATACAAAGTGCTATAAGGTGGAATGTCATTCTCCATGGATTTTAGCACGTCAACTGCTTCAGAAATAGTAGGAGGCAACCTGCTAACTCTGGACATGATTGTTTCTCGATGCTTATCAAATTCTTCCTTAATTTCATCTATTTTTATTGACAACATAGAAGCTCATCCCTTTTTTTTCTTGCACAACTTTCTCTTTTGCGCAGATGATGAGCCACTCGCTCGTCTTTTTAAAGGATTCTCATTCATTTCAAAACCAGTATCACCCTCTCTAGTTCCTTCATTTTCTTGGTCATCATTTAGATCTGGGATGCATAAATCAACAATACCTTCGTTACAAGGAGTAGTATGAATATTAACCTCTACCGACGGAACCTAGGAATTTGATGAAGCTTCAAAGAATCGTCGTGGAGGACAACCAGCCAAGGGGGACCACATATCATCTCCTTTAGCAACAGTACCATCAAATAATAATCCCAATATGTCTTCCAACTCAGGATCAATGCCTTTACTTCAAAACTTGGCTATTTCTGGATTAGCCTAAAAACAAAAAGAATCATAATTACAATACGTTTAAAAAATTAGACTGATTACATACGCCTATGTTAGGCATTGACCTTTAACGAAAATCGAATTCAAATAAATATATGCTCAATACCATTTAAATTATTTTTCATTAAAACTTTTTTATTATGAAAAGTTTACGCTTAAGAATATCCATAAGATATTTTTATTACATAACAACGATGTAAAGATCGTATAACATACCTTAATATTTTTATCCCACCAACCATCTGTACCATCGATAGTGCCTTTGCGTGGGTCCCACCCTAATCCAGTTGCTAGTCTCTTCAGGTGCTTCCAATTTTTCCAATCCTTTTTTAATGTATCCCATTTGTGTTTCATTTGCGAGGCATCATAGGTTAGTCCTGTCTCATTTTTGAACTTAGTGGCTATGCTAGCCCATGCAAACTTCTTCAAGCTACCTCCCGCTCTATTACCGGCCTCTAGTTCCTTTTTGCATATATTACAAAAAATAATAACACTTCCTCTCTCCCATTGTGCTCTTCCACGAACATTGTGATTAGACTGTGAGTTGAGCTTTATTAAAAAATGTTAAACATTGAGCATTATGAGTGATGAAGTAATGAATTTTGTTAAACATGAATTAGGAGTGAAAGAAAGTTTCTTCTTTAATGGATGAAAATGCGTTATTAATGTTAATATGCCTTGAAATCTGTATTGCCACTATGCAAATTAGTAAACGGGGGTCTCCCCCGATCTGACGGTATGCAATGCTGTTGTATTGGTATTAGAATCCAAGAATTATTTCTTTCACAGTGAGGGCAGGTACAGGTGGCGTTGAAGCTGGAATTTGGGCGGGTGATCTTGTAGGTACATTTATTCCTTGGTTCTTCACAGAGCATGTAGTATAATGCAAATAATATGCTACTTACTGCTTACCTATTCTTTGTGTTCACTTAGCAAGTTAGCATGGAATATACTATCCCTATAGTTGATGTAAGAAAAACATAATCACTTCAATATTTATTATGGGGTTATAAAGGAGTGGTTATGGTACTGCAGACACCTCACCCCCACCTCCCAGTGCAATCATTCACTCAAATGTTTATTAAGTTCAACTGTCAAAACTAAAATAACCTTAGTATGAGCACTGCTTAGTTGAGAAGCTTCCCTCGGGCAGTGTAAACCAAAATAATAGTCAGCACACAAATTTATTTGCAACATCTAGAAGAAACTCTTAGAATACAGAAACATGAAAAATTTGGAAACTCCAAAACCATAACCACTCCAAAATCAATGCTTCGCCAAGATGTTACTTCACAAGTAAAGCAAGTGGTGCTAATGATGAGAGATGGCAAGCACTCCCAGTCCCAGCTAAAGCAGTGAATTAAGGAAGACAGAATCAAACGAGTGTACATTTGGTATAAACAAGTTACCCATTATTATCCAATTTTTTTTACCATTATAGCCAACACTTTTCAATCACTTCACAGAGCATAAATGAACTCAATTCTACAAACCTAAGGAATATAAATCATATCTATATCACACAAATAAACATAGGTCACACCTTTCAATCACTGCCCATAGCAAAAATCAAATCAATGAACAACACACAAACTATAAAACTTGAGTCTTTATTGTGCAGTGGAAAATCAAGTGGACAAATATATGGTTCTTGAATTTCTTATGAAAAGAATTCATGACATATTTTTTACTAGAAAAAGAAAACAGATACAACTAAAAAAATCATGCAATATTGCTTACAAATAAAAAAAGACAAACGAAGGGGAAAAAAAATAAAGAAACATGTTCTAAAACATATAATTTCATTGTATTTTCAAGAAAAAATCAAATCTTTGAATCACTGAATTAAGAAATCTGAAATATTTGAATTACTTACTTGCAAAGAATTGGATTCCTCCATGGAGTAACTCACTGCGCAAATAAACCCTAATTTTTGCAGTTAAATCGCGGCTATATGGATTGGAGATGCAAGGCGCCAACTTTCCCGCTAGATTTTTCGTGGGTAGAAGTGGAAAATTTCTTGGAATCGCTTATCTTCTACGTTGAACGCTCACCCCCCAGAGCCTCTTGCGTTTAGCCGTGCTCAATAATAGGGGAGAAGTTACGCCTCTAATCGTAGATCTATTTTCACGGAAGCCAAACAGTAAAACTTAACCCATTAACGTTTTGGCCCCAAAACGTGGATGCCAAACAGGCCCTATTTTGGTATACCCTTAAATTAATCTATTACGGAGTATTTGTAATAATTTCTTGTGTGTACAGAGCACGGGATAATATCCCTCTCTTAATTCTATCGAACCGGGCCATGGGGCTTCGAGGTTCATTTATGGACTTCTTTCTGGATACGTAGCTAGTCGCCAGCTCATAATAATTGGACCGTTATCATCGGCCCACGAAATCGACGATCATTTTTCTCTCTTTTTTGTCCCCCCACCTTTAAGACTTCCTCCTCCTCCTCCATTTCTTTATTGTCTTCTTCGTTCGGTATTCGTCTTCTTCAGGTCTCTTTCCGCGCGGAAACAGTAGAAATTTAGGGTCCGGCCGGGCCCGCCTATAAATTTCCGTTATCCGACCCTAGATTTCCTCACTCGCCCCGTTTGCTCATAGATAAACCCTATTTCTCACGCTGTCTGATTCCTATTTCGTTTGAATTTTGCGGTGGATCTTGTTAATTGATCGTTTTTTTCTTCAATTGAACTCAAATTCGGGTGGATAATTCTGATTGTTTGATCATCTCGGAGCATGGACAGGCTCTCGCCGGCGCCAGTATCTTCATCGACGTCTATAACCGAGACGGTGAACGGCGCGCACGATTTTAAAATCACTGGGTATTCGTTGACGAAGGGGATGGGAATCGGGAAGTACATAGCCTCCGATACGTTCACTGTGGGCGGAATCTCTTGGGCTATCTATTTTTACCCGGACGGGAAGAGCCCGGAGGATAACACTGCATACGTTTCTCTATTCATTGCCCTTGCGAGCGAGGGGGTGGAAGTAAGGGCGCTTTTTGAATTGTCTCTTATTGATCAGAGCGGTAAGGAGATGCATAAAGTTCACAGCCATTTCGGTAGGGCTTTGGATACAGGCCCTTACACTCTCAAATCTCGTGGAAGCATGTGGTTAGTTTCATTTTTTCGAGGCTTTTATGTAGAATTTGGTAATGTTCCATGAAAATTTATATTTTTTATCTTCCTGCAGTTTCACATGTATGGAGATATGAAATTTGTATCCAGAGTGTGTAGCTTTTCATGTGAGCATGTGCAAGAGTGTGATGTTTTATCTATTATGACTCTTCTTTCTGCATTTAACTGCCTTCTGGTTCTCTTAGTATGCTGAGTACCCCTCCCTCTTTACAACTATTTATTCTGTCATGCTGTGTAGTGTCTATTTCATTTTGTACTGGGCTATGCATTCTAGTTTGTTTTGTAGTTTTATGAGATGGTACAAACCATTGTTGTTCCCTTCAAACTTCAAATGAACCATTATGCGTACAACCCTTAAAAGTCATAGGATACCACTTGTGTTTTAAAATTAATTTCTTGAAACTTTTTAACTATGTTCTCAACCTTCTCTCACAAGTTACATGAAAAGACTAGTTCTTCTTCAACAAGTAGGACTGTTTTTTAAACAAAACAAGAAAAAATTTAGGAAGAAAGCTCATATTTTTATTTTGGGACAGATGGAGTAATTGTTGAATATACTGGGAATATGTTTGAGGACTGAATGTCTTCATTTTCCAGATTACTAATGATTTATGTGTTTTTGCCACTCTTTTTGGTGTGTTTACAAGTGCGTGTCTGGTTAATGGTGTCATAATCTATTCCATTCCAACTCAGTTTTGGGATGACATGAAACTTTATTAATTGCAAATTGCTGCAGGGGATATAAAAGATTTTTCAGAAGAACTTCTCTTGAAACATCAGACTACCTGAAGGATGATTGTCTTGAGATCCGTTGCTGTGTTGGGGTTGTTAGGTCCCACACCGAGGGGCTTAAGACCTGCTCTATATCAGTGACTCCATCAGACATTGGGTTGCACTACGGGCAGCTTCTGGAAAGTGGAATGGGGACTGATGTAAAGCTTGAAGTTAATGGAGAGACTTTTGCAGCTCACAAGTTGGTACTGGCTGCTCGGTCACCTGTCTTTAGAGCACAACTGTTTGGTCCAATGAAGGATCAAGAGACAAACATTAAAGTTGAAGACATGGAGGCCCCTGTTTTTAAGGTTTCTCATATTTCATTAAGTTTCTCCCTTGGTGTTTTTGCTAATTTAGCTACTCCACTGTTTCTCCTTCTATTATTCTCTTGCTCCCCCCCACCCCCACCTGTTTCTCATTCTATTATTTTCCTATACCCTTACGAAGGTTTAAACGTGTTTTATGAATATGCTTCTTATGCGTGCTGTTTCATCTTTTTTCTACATATATTTTTAGGCTTTGCTGCATTTTATATACTGGGATGCATTGCCTGATTTGGGAGAACTTGCGGGTTTGAACTCCAAGTGGGCTTCAACTTTGATGACTCAGCATCTCCTTGCAGCATCTGATCGGTATGGTTTAGACAGGCTTAGGGTGCTTTGTGAAGCCCATCTGTGTGAGCATGTTGCCATCAATACTGTTGCGACAACATTAGCCTTAGCTGATCAGCATCGTTGTTTCACTCTCAAGTCGGTTTGTCTCAAATTCATTGCATCGCGTGGAAATCTTAGAGGTATATTTCACCTTAATGGAACTTCTGTGGGCATGCTAGCACATATTCATAGAATAATGATACAGAATACTTATAAAAACATTAGTTTATTTTTGTATAGAGCACATTTCCTAAGGCTTAAAATGATTGAAGTGGTTTATTCAGCTGAAATAATAAATGTTGTGGCTTAATTGGTTGCATTTCTTGAATTAAAAAAACACAAAGTGTATATTTCTTTAAATAAGTTATGGAAATAATAGTGTCTAAAGATCAAGCACATGCCATGTTTGGAACATGACTTTTTGAGGAGTTTTTTTGCTGGAAAAGAGCTTTTTTTAGTCTAATGATTAATCCAACTTCCAAACAGCTCTTAAATGTGTATAGTGAGCAGATTTTTAGAACAGTTTTCAGACCCAATAGCTGGATTTCAAAAAACATTATAATAATGTTTTTTACCTTCAAAACTTTGAACAGCTGACATGAACAACTTATATAACCAACCAGTTTTTTATTGAACAACTATCAACAACTGACACAAACATCAGCTGACAACTAACAACCATATGCCAAACACGGCCTTAAATTATCAATCCTAACCATTTCAACAAAAAAACAACTCTTGCATTCTTAGTTTCATTATGAATCAGTCGGTCCTGTGATACAAGTTATTGTTTAATGTAAATGCCAGTTTATGAGGTGCCGATAAGTCAAAACTAGAGCCTGCCCAAACCGCCTCCTATTAGTGCTGCCCTACGGATCATAGCTGGATATTTTTAGAACCCAGTAATGAACAAATGTGTGTCTGTATAATATATATATATATATATATATATATATATATATATATATATATATATATATATATATAGTCTCTATCAAAGATGGGAACTCATATGTTGCAGCATGTATACCGTTTTGCAGCTGTTATGGAGACAGATGGGTTTGATTACTTGAAAGAAAGCTGTCCCTGGATTGTAACGGAAGTGCTGGAGAATGTGGCCAGGGTGTGTGAGCACCCTGGTAACAAACTGGTAAATGATGGCGTCCTAGATGGAACCGATGCTAATGGCAGGCGCGTGAAGCAGAGACTCTAGTAGTCTGGTTTTTAATGGTCTTTTGGTTTTATTGTGAAGAAGCTTCATAATAGCAGATCATCTTTGGACTGATTTCACATTTCTCTCATCTGGTAAATAACTTACGAAGAAGAAGATTTCTAATGATGTTTTTTTGGAACTGAACTTAATCTGGTATCGAAATGGGTACCCAATTTTCACTCGTCTTGCTGTAGTTAGTGTCGATGCTTTTTGGGCTACTATCGTCCCGTGTCTCGGTTGAATCTCAATGTGTACTAATTTTTCAATTCTATTACTTGATTCATGGCCTAATTTGGCTGGAAACTTTTGCTGAAAAGCTAAATTTGAAAGAAGAAGAAAAAATTGGCTTGTTTGAATAATCAATCCAAATGTTTTGTCATCAAGGTTTTGTGGTGTGGGACTACGTTTTTGTATTATAATTTTGTGGTGGAATAATTTTAGTAATGACGACAATTATGTCTTGGTGTCTTTAAGAAGCCACCCAAAAGGCCGTATGTCTTGATGTGGAGGGCTAACAAACACAAATTGCTTCTTTATTGTTTTTAAGGGTAAATTGATTATTTATAATAACAAGAGTTATATGCCTAATTAGTTCTCGTCCTATTCTATAAGTAGGGTAAATAGTTTTCGAACTTTTAAAAGTTGTAAAATAATCTCCGCGATAAAAAAATTGTTGAATAATTAGTCTTTTTGAATAAAAATATAGAACATGCTGAATATGCATATATTATGTAAAGATGTGAAACATGTAATAATAAAAAAATAATCTGTAATTTTAATTGTAGTATGTAAATTTGAACCTTAGTATAATGTATTTTATTTTTTGGTTATTCTCACAACTTTTTCATGTCTCACATTTTCATACATGTTTCACATTTTCATATAACATGCACATATTATGCTTGCTTCACGTTTTTCTTTAGAAAAAGAAATAATTATGCAACAATTTTTTGACCTAAGACTCCTCCGTATTTCGTAAGATTTGAAAGTTAGAGGATTATCTACAAAAAAAACCAAGATAATTATCTATCCATATAACTCTAACAACAAATGCACCCAAGCAGCTTCAACATGCCATGGAAGATCTCACAACAAATGTATCCAAACAGTTCTTATTACAGGACAGAGCTATATATACATGGCAAATGGTCCGTACTTTCATACTACAATAGTCTCTGCTACAAACGACACTCGTCTACACATAGGTAAGAAAAGCATGTTGTTTTATTCAATGTCTCTTGTACTAGAATGTCCATAAGAGGCTTGCTTGAGTGTGGGATCATTTGATGTACTTGGTAAACCAGTTCAGCATGTCTTGACGGGCTTCTTCCGCACTCTGCACTGCTTTCTCATCCTCAGCATTGTACCTCACGCTCCACCCGTGCGAAACCCCAGGAAATATTTTCACAAAGGAACCTACCTGTTTAATTTCAATCAATAAACCTTTTATTTAATGAGTCTCAAATATGTTTATGTGTACAAGAGTAACAAGTGATTCATGTTATAAAAATGGTTGTCTACCTCAGTTTTCTTTTCACAAATGGTTATAAAAATGTTATAATAAGTCTCAAATATGCGCACTTTTCTTTTCACATACCTCAGTTTTTGGTGAAAGAATCTGTTCAAATTGTTTAAGAAGCTCGGGAGGGGACATGGAATCATTTTCTGCCCCCAAAATAGCAATCGGTGTCTTTACCTCTGACAAAAAAACAAAAGAGGTTCATGTTATAAAAATAGTTGTCTACCAGACTGATTTAAGAGTTATAAAAAGATGTCAAGAGACATACGCTTAATATCATCCACGGTAACAAATGATGGGTGCAGTAGAACTGCAGCTTGAATGAAACCAGAGTATGCCAAACTCACAACCGCCTTAGCTGCAAAAGACATTTTTTATGTGAGAATATGCTTAGAGGAGTCAACAACATAAGAAATTAAGAATTGAACTCAGTAAAACTCACCACCCCAGCAGAATCCTGCAGCTCCTATTGAAGAGATTCCTCTGCTTTTTAAGGCCTCAATAACAAGCTTTGCATCTTCGAACCCCTTGTCCTAAAAAGCAATCAAAACCCAAGTGTTCATCCATTACGACGCCAGCGTATCACAGTAAGGTCGTGTTTGTTTCACTTCAGTATGGGTATTAGGTATGGGCAAGGAATCTCATACTAATGCCTCTTGTTTTGGTTTCATAAAATGATTCCTGCCTATTTCCTCCTACCCCCAACCCTTTCTAGTTTGGGGAATCATTTGCCTGCCATTCCCTAATCAATTAACTTTCTCAATCCAACATCACTTCGAATGCCAGTCCCCAGTCGCAAACAGTTATGGCATGTTCTTTGCTTTTGCAGGTGATTTCAAGTGAAAATTGTATTTCCGAAATCCAGTGAAACCAAAAAAAAACTAATTTTACTAAATACAAACTAAACAATTGAATTTCATTTATCATGCCAAAATCCATAAATTCTGCCTCATGCTTGATTCCAAACCCATAAAAGAAAACCGATCAAGCGATTTACTGCTCCCCCCGTCTTTTAAATTTGGATTATGAATGGATAATTTATTGCATTCTGAAATGAAGAGTTCATCACAATTCACAAAACTGATGACCATGGGAAATTTATTGCATTATGAAATGGCATAAATAGGTTCATCAAGTAAAAGCCAGAAAACGCACCGCTCCATGTGCTTGAAGCCAGACCCCTATTGGCTTGCTTTCTGGAACGTAAGGATCACCTTGAAAAAAATCTGGAACCACAACATAGTATCCGCTGGCTGCAACTTTGTCTGCTATCGCCCTTCATTCCACAAGGTAGCAGACAACTCAAACAGTACTCCAGAAAAGCAATGAAGTGAAGCAACAAGGAGAGAGAATTCATTTCAAGTTACAAAGTGAAAACTACAGAAAGCAGTAGCTTTTCTTGTTTAGTCCATTGCCCACCAACTATTTGTTAAAAGTCCTGAGAAAAGAAACAACTTCCTTCCCCAAAAAATTGCTGATAAATGCATCAATTGACTAAAGAGTCGGGTCGGAAGATAAGGTGAGAGCGATATTTAGAGTTCCGATTGTGAAATGAAAGTGAATCCATCTAGACAGTACCTGAGATTTGGAGCTTCATAACCTGCAAATTAAGCAGGAAGAGGAGGAGAATTGGAAACTATAATTCCATCGAAATTACTACTGTGAGGGAGAAGCTAGCGAGACAGACCGTAAACGTCGGAGACAAGAAGGATAGCGAGGTTGGAATCGGAAGAACCGGTGATGTAGGACTTGAGGCCGCCAAGCTCCGCCACGGACCCGGCGCCACTGCTGGGATTCAGAGTGGGTGGATTCGCACAGCACTGAGGTCCAGACATCTTCTTGATTTTGATCCGATTCTCTTACAGTAATATCTATGGCGGCTCGGCTTTGGATGGATTGAGATACTACTGGGGAATACTACTGGGTTCGTAGTGATGAGAGTGCCGTGAATGGTGAATATGGGATTTGCCAAGTGTATGGTAGAGAATAACTTAAACAAGATAAAAAAAAACCAGTCCCTATATATTTGTTCAAAAGTCAAACAATATAAATTTGAGCTTCAATTACTTTCAAACGTTAATGCATTTTAGTATAAAAATAATCTAATTAGATTTATTTTATTGCGAATTTTCAAGATTGTATTTCATTATAGTAATATGTAATACAATTTGAAAGTAATTGAGGTTTAAAATTTACCCAATTTGGCTCGAAACAAGTCAAACTGAAGAAATAAATTAGAACGAAAGTAGTATAGAACTAATACGAGTCTTAAAAAAACCTATTAATGGAAATTGAAATCTTTTTCGAGATATACACGTATTCAACTACAGAATGAGGATTAAAAACTACTCCCTCTGTCTCATTTTAAATTGCATATTTACCTTTTTTCTCCGTCCTAAAATAAGTTGCATGTTACTTGTTTTCGTAAGCTTTTAAGAGTAAAATACCTAAACTACCCCTAAAATTAGTCACTCTTCACCACTTTATCTTCTTATTCATCGTCAACCCTTCTAAAAAATAATGGCAATTTCGAAAAATCAATTCTATTTTTTCTTTTCCTTAAATATGCCCAAAAATCAAAACAGACAATTTAAAATGTAACAAAGAGAGTATAATTTTATTATTGCCATAATATTAATTATTGTTTTAAAAAAATAGTTTATATAATTTAATTTGTTAAAGACAAGGTCCATTTTTTTAGTCTCCCCTAAAACCATTAAATCTTCAGGGTCGGGCATGGTCAATAAGTGCAAGTATTTTAAAAATAACAAAAAATCCAAAAAAAAAAAGAACCTGATGATATAAATACCATAGGTAGAAAAGTCTTTTACCAGTTGGGTAGAGAAACTTAACCGGCTTTGTAAAAACAAACATCAAAGTAAAGAACATACAAAGTATGACTTAGTCCAGAGCAAATATCCCATTTTTGTATTTTGTTTCAAGAGTGAACTAGTTTTTTAAGTATAAAAGGATGTTGTATATTCTTAATCACAAACTATTTATGGAGTAAATGATATCTACCAGGTGCATGGAAGCAATTTCACTTTTGACAAATGGGGATATAAAGGAATGTGTCACATGTGATATTTGTCACTATTCACTCATTAACTATTGAGTAAACAAAAAGTCGATCACTGTATAATAAAAGAAAAAGTGATCAGATATGACATATCAATCAAGTTATATTTAGGATATCAATTAAGTTGTCATTTAAGGATGATGTCAAATATACTTTTACTTTTCACTCTGGAATTGTGATCGATGAGATGGGTTCCTCAACCATATGTGTGTCATGGCATCATGGTGACGATTCCAAGTGGCTTATTCTTCATGGTGGTCCAACATTTCAAAAACCTAACCTAATAATTTTTGGTAAGGTTCATTTAATAAAAACATTCACAAAATAGACTTGTGTAAAATATGACCAGTCACTTATTTTTGTAAAAATGACCGATCATTTTCTCTCGTCTCTCAAAAGATATTTTGGGATGTTTTATATTTGATCGACCTTTCTTAACAAGCATAATCATGACCAATATTCAAACCATTTTTGGGTATGGAATGGACCCATCAAATCCAAAATGGGCTCTCAAACAAAAGAATACTAAGGTCATGTTCTTTCCAATTTTTTTTACTCATTATTTATTTTATTAAAACCAAAACAGACAGAAATAGTTTTAAATATAATTAGATCAGATCAGGACTTATTTTATTCAGATCAGAATCAATCAGATCAGGTGAAGAGAACATGACCTAAGTGACCGTTCTCCTCTGGTTCCAGAATCCTCCAATATGTTCAAAACCTTAACTTCCCGTACTCGTTCATGTTTTGAACCGAAACTGTATCCACATTTTAGCCAAATCTTAGAACCGGAGGGCAGAGACTAGAATAGTACGAGAACGGTTCAAATCGAGTCAATCAACCCAGACTAATTGTAATCGCATCGCGGGTTGGTCTGATCGGGCCAAAAAAGTATTGGATCCAATGGGCCAAATTCGAAGCCCACCAGAAAAAACCCAAAAAAACAATGTGGCCCACCACAGTGAAGTTATGGCTGCAAGTGGTAACGCATGAATGAGTTGGTGAATCACGTGTCGCGGCGTGGTGTGTGGGAAAGAAAGGCCGCCGAGTCCGCCTCCCGCGCACGTTAGCCAACTCTCCTCTAACCTAAACGGCGCACGGTGCATCTTAGCAAGCTCCTTTTTCACCCGATTCTTATCTGTTTTGCTCAGAATGGGCTTCTTCCACAAGGCTTCCTGACTGTCTCCCTCTCCCACTCTCATCGGCAGAAAAAAAAAAAGAAAAAAAAAAGAATTAGGGTTAGGGGTTTAAGCAAAATTAAGCCGCCCACTCGTCACTGGGTTATCTCTTGCATCCTCATACTGATTTTGTAATTTAAAAGGGGGTTTTTTTAACCCTTTTTTTCTTTCTTCCTTTTTAATTTTGAATTGCTGCCGTTTTGGGTTCTCAATTTAAAGATCTATCAATGCCCGAGTATTGCTTCACCAACTATCCAGTGGGAAACATCAAGACAATCGAAGCTGTTTGGGTTTTGTTCTCAGAAAAAGAGAGTTTTTCGTTCAATTGATTGATTGCTTTGGAATTCTGCTTTTCCATGGCACCGGGCCGGAAAAGAGGCGGCGGAAGCAAAGCTGCTTCCGCCAGGAGACAGTGGAAGATAGGGGATCTCGTGCTTGCTAAGGTCAAAGGCTTCCCAGCCTGGCCTGCAACTGTAAGTTGACGCTTTATCTTTTGTTTGAANCACACACACACACGAAGGTTTCATTTAGTCTTGGATCTGATGATAGAACTTTGTCCGTGCATATGAAAAATCTGATAGTTTGTGATGTATAAATAGTTAGGAGTTAGTAGTAGTTGCCTGATTTTTGCAGATTCATCCAACTTGAAAAAACACCAGGTCAAACTAGTAGTATACATATTAGGATGTCACTTGAAGCAGATTAAGAATACAGTGTTATGGACGTAGAGGCAGTTCTCATATAATTTGTTGTCTGAAGTAGCTAAATGAATATCTTAACAGATTGTCAGTTTGTCACTCCATCTGTTGATTATATTATCGTCATAAGACTCATAACCGCAATGCTCAGATAATTTGTAGTCTGAAATAATTAATTGAATTAAATAACTAGTTTGTTAGTTGTTTTTTTAATTGATGAGGTTTACATGACTTTGAGTTCAGAAAAGAGAATTAAAGTATTAAACGTAAACCTTGATGCTTAGGCTTTGTTTCACAGAGGGATTGATTCATGATGCCATTATTTTATACTTATGCATTGACTCTTGCCTCAATGAGGAGCTGTAGAAAATTGTTGCCACACTAGACACATGAGGCTTACACCTTTAATATTATGTCAAGACATACCATTTTACTGGAAGACTAATTTTTTTAAGTTTTGCTTTATAAGCAAACATTACAAATACATTTTTGGATTCTTTTAGTTTGTGTTGTCAATAACATGTTACATGAAAGGATGAAGTCATCCCAATTTACTTGAAATTTCATAAGAAAAGTTATATTTCAAAGTCTTTGGCATCGTCATGGGGTTGAGAAAGTTGCAAAACCTCAAGAAATATAGAAAAATATCAAAAAAAAATTTGAGAAGTATTAGGAAATATTGAAGATATCTTTAAAATATTTTGTTGATTTATTTATTTTTCAAATATTATTTACATAATACAATTTGCATTTTCATTAATATTGATAGTTTTAACCTAGCCTTATCTATAAAGGGTAGTGGGACCATGGACTTTCATTTTAAGCACCCTAATAGTCTAATACTTTTCTAGTTCTTGTAGTGAACATAATGTGTTAGTTAGTGAGTGTAGATTAATATATGTTGAGCTTAAGACATGATATAACACCATGGCGATCCTAATAATTTTCTTAGGGCCAATATTGACGCATTGCACTTTTGGTGGGCAAGATTGCACCCTAACTTGTACTGTTATACAGGGGGGATTGAGGGTAAACTTGTAACTCTTTGATGACCCAAGATTGGCTTCATGTGATTTCAAAGCCACCTAAGTGCAAAAACTAAGTAGCAAGGATGAGAATGTTTAAGTGGATGTGTGATTATACTAGGATAGTAGGATGGATATTGTTAGAACCAAAGATATACATGACAAGATGTAAGTGACTCATGTGGATGATAAGATGTGTGAGTTGAAGTTAATGTGGTTTTGGCATGTGCCCCTGTGAGGATGTGTGAAAGATTAACAATGGAAAGTTTGAGGAAGGGTTCAATAGATCGAAAAGAGTAAGGGTGAGTTGATTATAGAGTACATGTTGTTTCATCATCTCACTGTTGGCATGCCCTTGACCTAAGTGTTTGAAGGTTGACAATTCAAATTGCATGACAATTTAACATGGCTTGAATTGTCTTTGAGAGAAATAAGTGTAGACGGGTGCCTTTGTTGGGGTTAGTTTATTTGGTTGTTGTTTAATCTTCCTTTTTTTATCTTGTAATTATTTTACTCTTAATGTTCATCTTTTGGTTTTTGATTTCCCTCAATTGTTTTTATATTTTCTTTAGCGGAAGGTCTTCAAAAAATAGTCTGTCTAACTCATAGTTGTGAATGGCGAATGGCGGGCGGTCAAATGGCGAACATTAAATAAATAAATAAATATATATATATATATATTCATATATATATATATATATATATATATAGTTTAAGTCTAAACTTTTAGTCTTAACTTTGTATCAAACATAATTATCAAAGTAAAACATGAGTTATTGGTGAAAAACTATTGTACAAAAAAAATGAAAAAAATATATCTAAGTGTGAGTGTGACCTGCGAAGTGAGCTGTAAAGAAACAATAACCATTAAAAAAAACAATAAGAAAACAAAAAAAAAAGTATGAGTGACCTGCGAAGTGTGGAGTCTTACTTTTGCCGGCTCTGACTCTGCCTTTGCGCTGTTTGGACTCGCGAGAGAGACGAGGCTCTGCGCCAGCTGAGGAGAACTTGAGGAGGGCAGATCGACGGCTAGAGGGCAGAGGCAGAGGCTCGGCAATTGAATCGATGAAGTGTTTCGATCGAGTACTGTCAGGTCAGCGCGTTTTTTAAAAAAAAAGTCAAGAAAAACCCTTGACCTGCGTCTGGCGTAGATAGCGAACGCCTCTCGCCACAGCGTTTGGCGTCCATGGCGACTGCCTATGGCGAGATTGGCGTAAAACGCCTCGCCAGGTCTGAAGATGGCGTCAGATGGTCGCCACAAAGCCATAGGCGCCTTAGGCGAGAATGGCGAGCGCCATTCACAACTATGGTCTAACTTTAAAGGTTACAGTAAGGTTTGGATGCACCTACCCTCTTGAGACCCTAACCTCATGTGTGGAACTTTTTAAAATGATTATTGATTAATCAAACATCTCTTAAATGTTGAATGTGTTAAAATAGTTTTAATTGGTTGTTATTTGAGTTGAATTTGTATTTTTAGTTGAAATTATTGGACTAATATGCGTGCATGTATGTATGTATTTGTGTGTGTGTGTGTGTACGTACGTACGTACGTACGTATGTATGTATGTATGTATGCATGCATGCATGCATGCATGCATGTAAGAGAGAAATGTTGTGAGCCACATTTATTTTCTTTAACACAATGTTTGGTTCAAGGAATTTGGTAGGAAAAGAAAACAAAATGACTTTCTCTCATTTTCCTCACAAAAATGGGAGGCATATGGTTTTCCTTTCTCTTAGTCTCATGTTTTCTTCCTTCCACTTTTCTTTTCTTTTCTTCTCTAGCCAAACAAGAAAAATGTTTTCCTTTTCATTTTCTTTTCCTTTCCCTCTCAAATTCCTTGAACCAAACATAGTGTAAAAGGAAATGGGACGTGTGAAATTTATTTTGAGACGGATAAAAAAGAAAAGTGGGAACTCTTAGTTAGATGGAGGGAGTATTTATTATTGAAAACCATTATTGAATGTTCTTTAAAACAGACAAGATCAACAACAGAGGGCTTTCAGAGTTTCGGTCCATTCCCCCAGGCCAAGACGAAGACCCTGCTTTTATTTATATCATTAATTAATTTTAGGTTAAAGATGTCATATTTCTATATTTTTCATGGTAGTTTTTCTTTGTTTTAACCATGAAATTATCAGTTGTTTCTGTTTGTCTTTTGGCACACATAAAAGTATTATTAGTGTCATGTCTTTGCTAAGCACTAGGAAAAGCATGACGAAAGTTCATAAAAGTATTATTGAACACACACAGCTTTCTTTATTTGACATAAATATCATGTTTTCTAGTTTTGGACATCTCTCTATAAATGCCTCTTTGTTTAGTTTGTAAAAGTCTTACTCTACTATTCTCATTTACTTTCCCCGCCCCCTTGATTAAATGATTAATTATTCTCAATTACAGTGTACATATCCCATGAACAAACTTTGAAGTCTTTTTTTTGGAACTACAACCCACTACACCCAGGAACTGAGGCTAGTTAACCTTGAAAGGTCTAAACCTATCAAATAGTACAATTCCCTCCCCCCCAAAATAAATAAATAAATAAATAAATTAAAAAAATGGGGATCTAACCTGTGTTGGTGAGCTCCCCTGAGACTTATACGTTGGCCCTTCTTCTGCTATGAACAAACGTGAAAGTCATAAGAAAACCATTTTATGCATTGAGAATTGCACTAAGTCAAAGTAAGAAATTTACATAGGGTCAAATGTAGCACTTTGTAAAACATTTTTTTTATTTTCTCTATCATGCATTTCCCCCTCTTGCCCCATTAAATGTCTGTATCCCTTAACACCCCTTTTTAAAATCTGTATCACATGCACCAAACACCTCAAGCCTTTGCCTCATCTTAAGAAATGGGATAGTTGATATAGTTGAATCTCTCAAGTCTCTCTGTGTTTCGTGAATTTTGTTTTAGGGTACATTGGATTTTCTGTGCCTGATGCGAGTAATTTTCAGCTAGTTGGTTACCAAACTATGAACATCTTCACATCTAACCCTTCTTTCTTATTCGTTTGATTCCCTGAGATCAATCTTTTTTCACCGAGGAAAGTATGTTGAACCAATTTTTCACTTGCATTATTCTGTCATTCATATCTAATGACACTCACTATCTTGGAGTCAGATACACCACATCAAAAAGATCTTGAAGAGTTCAAGGTATTGATGTGACTAGTGAGATTATGCTTTACCATTCCTAAGAGTGAAGGTCAGAGAAACAGCCTTTTTATATGCATATGTGTATGTGTGAGTGTATATGTACAAGAACACAGTCGAATCCCATGAGAGTTGCACATGTGTGTGTGTGTGTGGAAGGTAAAGCTGATTAATCAGGCCTTGGTTGGTCCCTCATTTTCGTGGACCTTGCATCCCTGCCCCATGTGCAAAATAAAATCATCATTTCAAGTTCTCCACAGAATGAAAGGGAAATGCACTATTTAATTTGCCAATATAAAATAGTTCTAAAATGTGTTGTTTAGCAAGTTTTTCCTTTGCACTATGGTATTCCATACACATTTTTTATTTTTATTATTGTATTTCTTCTATAACTGGCATTAAAATGTAAAAAGAGATCACAATTGTACTTACTGGCTGTGGATGGCAGGTAAGTGAGCCCGAGAAGTGGGGCTATCCTCCTGACTGGAAGAAGGTGCTTGTCTACTTTTTTGGGACTCAACAAATGTGAGTGTGACAAGCCACTGTAGTTCTGATCTTTTATATTCTTTGTTATCCTATGGATAACATTTCTTTACACTTGCACTCTTATTTCATATGTATCTTCTCATCTCACAATTAAATCATTTTATTTGTGTCCCTTATTATTAACCTATCAAAATTCATTAGTTTTCAAGACAATTAATTTATGTAGTGTTTGGCAACTAGCATTTCATTTCAATTCATGCATTTCAATTCCAAAATTTGAAATCTTGAATTTCAAATGACAAGGGGAGGTGCATGTATTTCAAATTAAGCTTTGTTATGAATGAGAAGAATTTGACTCAAATCCAAATTCAAAATTTTTAAGTTTCCCAAACATGGAATTTGAGCCAAATCCATGTTCCCAAACATACCATTATATATTTTTTTTCTGGCTATTAAATGCTTTAATAGTAGACTTTTTAGGCACGCAAGTTTTCATGCCCGTATTATCGGGTTGAAGTATCTTATGATATACATATTCAATAAATTATTTTGCCTTCAGCGTCTTTTGCCTAAACTACTCAAGTGATAGGTCATTCCTATTGATAGGAGTTTGTAGACACAAGTTTTTCATGTTTATAAATTCTCGTTGAAGTACCTTACAGTATACCATTCTACTACATATTTGGACTGTTGGGCCTGATATATGCCAAGACTCAAGTGATAGGTTAATCTATTTAATTTGGTGATGCCAAGTGTATCAGTGTATGGTTTCTTGTTCTTTTTCTTTTTTGTTATCTACATTTTTGAAGCCTTAACCTGTTTTTTTTACCAGAGCTTTTTGCAACCCCTCTGATGTTGAAGCTTTCACAGAAGAGAAGAAAGAATCTCTCGTCGGAAAACGTCATGGGAAAGGTGCAGATTTTGCTCGTGCTCTGCGGGAGATAATTGACTGCTATGAGAAGTTGAAAAAGGAGTCAACTAGAAGTGATCTGATGTATGAAATGCCCACAGAAACACACAGTTGTCAAACAATGAAACAGGTCGTTGGAGATTCAAGTGATCGAAACTGTTCAACTAAAATTGGTACGACTGGAGCTGTAGAGGAAATATCATTTGATGAACAAATGCCATCAAAAGAGCCTAATGGTATGGTGGAAGGTATGCATTTTAGTAACACTCCTTCAAGAAGGAAACTCAACTCTCTGAGACCACGTATTTGTACCACACAAAAAAGATCATCTAGGAGTTCTTTGAGAAATGACACTTTGAGGAGGAGTCAAAGGACTAGGAAGTTATTAGATGATGCTAACATGGATGGGGTAGGTTCTCCTACATCCTTTTCAAATGATAGTTTTGAAGAGATAGATTCTGAAATTGTTACAGCAGATTCTGATTCCTCAAGCTTCAATGAAGGCAGCAGTGTAGAATCTGGTTGCAAACTTGAACCTAGGTCCCTGGAGCATTGTGAAGGGGAGGTAGAGTTTGACCACAAGCTTGATTTCCATGGTAATGCTGTAATACTTAAGAAGAAGAGGAAACCAAATAGAAAGAGATTTCCTAATGTTTCAACTGCTGCTACTGCAGATCCTTTTAAAGAAACAATTTCTGAAACACAGATGGTTTTATCTGGACATAAAGTGTTGAATAATGTTGAGAAGCCAACTGAAAGTTTTGTAAAAAGTATCAAGGAAGATGGTGATGAGCACCTGCCACTTTTCAAAAGAGCCAGAGTTCGCATGAGTAGGGCATCACCTGTGAAGGAACTTGATGTTTCTGTGCAGGTAGAGGATAAAAGGACAGAAGTGTGTAATGCCCCTAGAGAGCAGTGTACTCTGTCATTCCATGAAGGCGATAGTTCTATTGCTCAAAATTTACCCACATCAAATACAAGCCCTGTCAAAGTGGAACAATTTTGCAATAAAAAATTTGGTGGTTCAGTTGCTGGTGAGTCTGCTTTGCCTCCGTCTAAACGTCTTCACCGTGCTTTGCAGGCCATGTCGGCTAACACTTCTGAAGACAATCAAAGAAATTTCGGGGGCCTATCAAAAATTAATAATTCAATTGGTGGATGCTCTTCTGTGGGCTATTGCAGTGGGTCATTAGATAGTTGCAATGTAGATAATGAATCTGGAAAGGAGAGAGTGGAGAAACTTCTGATAAATGCTTCAAAGGATGATTCCACTCAGCTTACGACAGGAACTGCAGTGCCAGCAGACATCCTTGAAATCAAGCCAGCTAATGTTGGGGAGATACAAGCCAAGGTGGAATCGCGTAATGGAGACTTGGTGAAGATCTCAATAAACCACAGTGATATGCCATCAACTCCAATTGGATGTGTCAATGACAACCATAAATTCGACGGTTCTGATTTCTCAAAGCCTTCTGGCGAGTCCACTTGTGAAACTCACCGGTTGTGCTCAGATTCTTTTGAAAGTAATAAAATTGCCACAAGTTCGTCCAAAATAAACGACATCCCTCATATGCTTGCATTGGAGGTTAAATGTGGTGAAACTAACAGTGTGAGTCAACATTCATTGGATGAGACTAAACGAGACAATGAAATGTAAGTTATGTTGCTTATCATTTCATCAAAATGGTAGTGTACACTTTCTGAATTCTTGCTGACCATTTTTATCTTGTACACCCCCCCTTATTTGATTGGCACTGTTTGTTTTAATTTTCCATCACAGAAAATCCGTATTTTGACTTTTTTGTCCCTGATAACAAGATTTTCATGTTCTTTTCAGATCCAAGGCCGAAGAGGGCATCAGAATGATACTGAAGGATGCAAGTGCTATATCCCCACCTGAAAATATAATGAGTTCTTTACAGCAAGAGATGCATCTGTCTTGTTCAAGTTCTATTTCTGACGATCAATTGGGTGAAAAACCTGTATCAATTACCTTATCATCGTCATCTCTTACCGAGGGGTTGGATTCAAGTGCACGAGCATCTCCTCCGAATACTTCAGTATGCAATACGTCTAAATCAGATGGTTTTGTCCTTGATAAACCAAAGGTTGCAGACAAAGTGAGCAGCAAAAGAGAAGCTAGTGCTGCTCTAGCCTATTTTGAATCCATTTTAGGAGCACTGACTCGGACTAAGGAAAGCATTGGTCGCGCAACACGTGTTGCTATAGACTGTGCTAAATTTGGTGTTGCCACTAAGGTGGGGTTATATGCTAATATCTTGAAAGTCTTTTCTGTCTCCACCTTAAATTTGACATCTTTTCTTCTTTCATTTTCTTTTTCCAATGCAGGTAGTTGAAATTCTTTCCTCTGTTTTGGAATGTGAGTCCAGTTTACATAGAAGAGTGGATTTATTTTTTCTAGTGGATTCTATTGTTCAGAGTTCAAGAAGCTTGAAAGGTATGGTCACTGGCTTCTGATTTTATAGGTGCTCTTTAATATGAGTGTACTTGTGTTATGTTAATGCTGTATTTCTATGTACTCTATGTTTTTTCATAAAGATAGCTAATTTTTGGAATCAACGTTGTAAATTGCATGCACCCATCCAACACACTTAGTATTAAGGTTGTTAAAGAGTATCCCACATCGGAACTTGAAGAGAAAATAAACCGGTATATAAGCCCTTGAGTTGAACTAACTAATCGATTGGATTCAATCTTTTAATACGGTTCAACCCAAGTGTCTTATTGCCCAACCCAGTTGTCCATACTCCATCCTAAATTCTATCATGGTATCAGAGCAAGTTTTGGCCCACCTCGTTTGTTAAGGTGTCCGTCTAGACGTTCATTCCTAGCGGCCCGTTTGTCTTTAGCCCAGTTGTCCGTATGGAGTATGTACCCAACGGCCTGTGGCCCATTTAACACGATTGCTCGTTTGGAAGTCCATACCCAGCGGCTCGTGGTCCTTTAGGTGTTGGCGCTCAAAAAAAAGTCAAGGGAATGGGAGTTTATTTGCAAGTGATCAACCGGTTAGATTCAAAATGGCCCGGTTGTCCACTTGAGGGGGAGTGTTAAAGAGTATCCCACATCGGAACTTGAAGAGAAAATAAACCGGTATATAAGCCCTTGAGTTGAACTAACTAATCGATTGGATTCAATCTTTTAATACGGTTCAACCCAAGTGTCTTATTGCCCAACCCAGTTGTCCATACTCCATCCTAAATTCTATCAAAGGTGAAGGTATCATCTCTTCCAATGGTATACGTTTTCAAATTTTATAAAATTTCAGGTGATATTGGTGCTATATATCCTTTAGCTATTCAAACAGTTCTGCCACGTATGTTAGCAGCAGCAGCTCCTCCTGGAAGTTGTTCCCTAGAAAACCAGAGGCAGTGCTTAAAAGTAAGATTTTTGGGGTTCTTTACCTTTTCATTCTTTTGTCACTTTTCTAAAGTGAATAGGACGTAGGGCTTATGTTTTGCTTTCTTGTTTTTAAAAAAACAGGTGTTGAAGGTTTGGCAGGAAAGAAGGTTACTTCCTGAATCAGTCATTCGCCCTCACATCACAGAGCTGGAGTCGTTATCTAGTTTTTCTTCTGGTGGTGTAGTCTCTCGGCGCTCTTTAAGAACAGAGCGGACTTCTGACGATCCACTTAGAGAAATGGATGGCATGATGGTTAATGAATATGGAAGGTATGATTCTTATAACCCTTGCTAAATATGTTGATTCATGTGGTGTCATTTTGTGAAGTGATTTACGTGAATGGTGTAAATTCAATTGTATTTGTTTGTTTTTATTTTTTTAATAAATTCTAGTACAGTTGATAATCCATGTTGAAAAGAAGTAATGCTCCAGTGACCAAGCATGTTGGTAGTAATATCTTCTTCTTTAAGGAGTTTGATGTTTTCTAATGAACACATTAAAGACATCAATTCTAATGACTAATAGCAGTATTGAGCATATGATCCTTTATTCATAGATGTAGTTTGAACCAATGAATGGTTTATTCCTAATACACTTACATGCAGTCACGCACACACACATAATGGACGTGATCTGTACTATAAAGCAACTTAATAGTAGACAACTTTCGTTTGTTGTTTACATATATATGCCATTTGCAATTTTTATTTATTTACTCTTATACTCCATACTATTTAATATTACTATAATCTTTATTACTCTGTAATTAATTATTTTTTATTTTCCTAAAATGCTTCACTATTTCTTTGTTGTTTTGTATTCAAATATGCCGGTTTATGTTCCAAATGGAATTGAATAATATATATATGTTTTAATCTGATTTTGGATGCCTCAATTGAAATTTACCTTTCTCCAGCAACTCAAGTATTCAGCTCCCTGGCTTTTCTATGCCTCCCATGCTAAAGGCTGCAGTTGACTCTGATGGAGAGGGTTTTGAGGCTGTTACTCCTGAACACACTGCCACAGAATCTGAAGGACAGGAATATGTTGTCCAAAGCATTGAGAAGCATCGATGTATATTGGAAGCAGTTGAAGGTGAACTTGAAATGGAGGATGTGGCTCCTCCTAATGAAGATGAAATTCCTGCCATTAGTAATGGTCCTAGAATGGACACAGAACAGGTTTCAGATTACCCAGTCATAAATCATGTACAAACTCAACCACCATTCCCAAAGGATTTACCTGTAACTACACCTACTATATTGTTGTCCCCACAGCCACCCCCTCCGTCTTTGCCACCACCGCCCCTTCCATCTCTGTCACCACCACCCCTTCCGCCTCTGCCACCACCTCTGCCTCCGTCTTTACCACCACCTCCCTCCCAGCCTCCACCTCCTCCTCCACCCCTTCCACCGGCACCTGCTAGTTTTGTTTCTCCTGTTGCATCTGACTCGATATCTAAAGGCGTGCATTCAAAGTTCTCTTCAAGTTCANCTCCGTCTTTACCACCACCTCCCTCCCAGCCTCCACCTCCTCCTCCACCCCTTCCACCAGAACCTGCTAGTTTTGTTTCTCCTGTTGCATCTGACTCGATATCTAAAGGCGTGCATTCAAAGTTCTCTTCAAGTTCAGAGGTGCTCCTTTTTTTATTGCTGTGGGTTTGGAATAGTTTTTAATGTCCAACATCAAATGTAATCATGTCTCAAACCTTATCATTATCCCAAATTCCCAATAAAACACACTATTTCAAAAAAAGATGTCCATTTTTGGTGGATTTGAAACAATATTTCCACACAAAAGTCTTCCAAATAAGTTATATGTAGTTGAACTGAAAATTTTTAAAATCTTTCAGTAGGATTTAGAATTTATAAGAGTTTTGCACTAACTTGTACCTTGCCATTTTTTAAAAGTTTGTACCTACTACCTGGATGAAACAAGACTTTTTTTTTGGGGTGGAGGTAGTAATTTTATTTTCTATTGGATATTAGTTTGTACCTTATATTTGTTCCGTGCAATGGAGTGCAGATCACGAAAGACATTTTAGAAGAATCTGCTCTGCAAAAACCTGTCAAAGCAAGATCTGAACCAAGAATTTCAGATGCAGATCAACATCAAGCCGCTGACAGGAGAGGAATCCATCCATTCAGTAGTGAATCTGCTCGTCATCAATCTGTTTGGACAGCCAATAACTTGCCACCGGCTGATGGAACCTTTAAAAAGAACTCCCGATTGCGTCCGCCACATCCTGCCCCGTCAAACCAATTCTCCTATATTCAGACTGATCAGCAAGCTCAAGCAACAAGGAATGCTCACCATTCTTATCCAAACAGATTTCATCATGCGCATAATAACATTGATCATGTTGATCTCTACAGAGGTCGTGATGCTGGAGAGTACTGGAGGAGCTCAAATCTGCATTCTGGTAAGATTTTGTTACCAAGAGTCCACTTGGTAAGGCTTTAAGTGACTGAAGTCGAATATGCTGAAGTTGCAGAAGCTATGACCAAAATGGCAAATTTCCTGAACTATCTAAAAGTTGTTTTACATTATATATTCATATTTCAAGAAAAAAACAAATAAAGTAAAGAAAAATAGCTAATTATTAAGGTAAATGTACCAATGTGAGCCAAAAACTAACACCTATATTTTTATCATCATTATAATGATGATGATGATCATCACCAGAAGGTTCTTTTGACACTGGTGTTATTGTCACACCAGTGACACGAGGGTCCTTCGGTGCTCCGTTTGGCCTGAGACCGGGTCCCTTCTCCTCCATGAGCGACCCCCACTTTCCTCTCTAAGGGGGCGAGAGAACCCCTTGACCCATTCCCCCGTTTTCAGATCCAACAAAGCACCATAGGGCTCTCAAATGGCACTGTGCCACATTATTATTATTTTGTTGTTGTTATTGTTGTTATTATTATTATTATTATTGTAATAATAAAAATTATTATTATTATTATTATTATCATCATCATCATCATCAGTCCATTCGGCTAATAGTTAAGTGTTTGGTGAAAGAACTATGGTAGGACAGCCAGACCACAAGTAAATGGGCTTCACATACAGAGTGTTTTATTTCATGTCTTTTTATTATTACAAGATGCGATTTAGTGTTTGTTACTCTTTCAGGCACATGCTACGAGGACTGTGACAGAGTCCCTTACGACGCTGGTCCGTATACTTCACCGCGCCAAAGGGGATATCGTGATCACAGATGGGCTCACCACCCGTCGCGGCCCATGAACTATAGAGAATTCCTACCCCATAGAATACACTCGGAAGGCCCATTCCCAATAACAAATAGAGGTATTCCTTCTACCCACATAAAAAATCCATGGGATATGGAGTGGTAGTGAATTTTCTTGAGACCGTCCATGTTTTTCAGGTTCCAAGTATTGGAGACCAAGATAGAGTGGCAGAACCCCTAGACCTCTACTGTTTATGGTATTCACCCCTTCCTATTGCATTACTAACTACTCTCTCTGTCCCAAAAAAAGACGGCTCATTTCTTTTTTTTTCGTAACGTCCCAAAAAAAGACCAATCTTTCCATTTTTGGCAACTTTTGTGTAGCCCAACATCTTTATCTTTCCTCTGTATCACTTTCGACCACACAATTTTCACTTTTCTTAAACTTTGTGCCAAACCCAATTACAAGTCTTTTTTTTGGGACGGAGTGAGTATGTAGTAAACACCCTTGAGTATAAAAATAACGGCGTATCACGGCCCTGCTTGATGATTGCATAATTGAAATCTGGAATTTCCTTGTGTTATGCAGCCTCTGATAAAAATGTGGGGTATGAAATCTCTGTCAGTTATTCCCAGTTTGCCCTTTGTCTGTACATACACCATTCCATCAGCAATATATAAAAATGTGATGTAGACTAGAACAAGTGAGCCAAACCCTTCATCATGTCAAAGGCATCAAGTTTCTTCCATAGAGTTGTAACATAATCTTTAGGCAGCGGACTTGTTTTTGTAAATGCTGTACCCTTTTTTTCTTTGTTATTTTTCAATACGGAGTATTCCATAAGGTTATGCACATTTTTTAGTGTGCTAGAATTTTTATCTTATACTTTCAGTTCTTAGGGTTGTTGTTTTTTTCCCTGTCCTGTAACTGTTCTCGTGTATTCTCGCATTTAATGTCAAAAGATTATTTAATAATCCATGAAGTTTATTCCCTCTGCCCCTCCTAGTGTCTTTACATTTACCCATATTTGAAGGGTCTGTGTTTGGCAATTAACGTATACCTCATGCAAAAATGAACGATTTATTTGGTAACAAAGTGGCCACTGTGTTACGATATTTGACTGAAATAATTTTTAAATAATTTTATATGAAAAATGGTATAGAATTAAAAAAATAAAAATTACTCCATCCGTCCCAAATTATAATGCATGTTCATTATTCACAGGGTCAAACTCCTAGTATTATAAAATAAAGTATTATTGTCACTACTAGCAATCTGATAAAATAAAGTATTATTGTCACTACTAGTTTTGTACTCCCTCCGTCCCAATTTAAATCGCCTGTTTTGATTTTTAGGCATATTTAAGGAAAATAAAAAATAGAGTTGATTTTTCGAAATTGACATTACTTTTTAGAAGGGGTGATGATAAATGAGAAGATAAGGTGAAGAAAAATGACTTATTTTAGGGGTAGTTTAGGTATTTTATTTTTAAAAGTTTACTAAAACAACTAACAGGCAACTTATTTTGGGACGGAGAAAAAAGGCAAACAGGTAATTTAAAATAGGACGGAGGGAGTAGATCTTTTGATGTAGTATTTTACTCCCTCCGTCCTAAAATTAATTTCCCAGTTTGACTTTGGCAGTCAAACTTTTTAAACTTTGACCATATATTACGGAAAAAATACATTGAGTTTTCATATAAATTTATTAGCAATAGATTCATTTTGAAATATAGTTTTGAAATATATAATTTTTATACAATATATTTATATAAAAATTGAGATATTAATGGTCAAAGTATCGCATTGGAGACCGTGAAAAAGCAAACAAGAAGTTAATTTTAGGACGGAGGGAGTAATATGTAATTTTTATTTTTTAACTTTATGCCATTAATCATATAAAATGATTTGAAAATAACTTCAGTCAAACATCGTAAACCGAAACAGGCGTTATAAAATGGGACGGAGGGAGTATATATTTAAAAAGTACATAAAGAGATTTACAAAATTAGTGGTGATTTTATTATTTTATTTTATTAAATGACTAATGATGTTACCACAATTTAAGCCCTTCAATTGTACTAAAAGAAAAACCGGAGTATTTTATTTTTCATCCTCTTAGTGTAATTTATTCTTTCATTTTCTTTTTTTGACTTATCTTCTCCAACCAAAAAAGAAAAAATATTTTTGATTTCATTTTTTTCTTTTCCCTTTAGAATTCTCTTCAACCAAATATTGTGTAAAACCATTTAGGGATTTTGGATAGCTTCTTAATGATATGAATTTTGAAAAATATAAACTTTAATGTTGTCATTAGACAATTCTTTTAAAATGTTAAAAGTAAAAGATTATGTTAGGGGTTTCTCACCTTTTGTACATCAAGTGTAACAAGTTTGCCACACTTGATGCATACAAGCATCAACTATTTTTGTTTGTGACAAGATTGGTGTACAAAGCTGGATATTTTAAATTCTTGGTGGGGCGTGGCCAACACATGACTTTATACAATATATCTTTTTTCTTCTACATAAAATCAAACCATAAATTTTACTCTGTATTTTTTTGAAAGGAAAATCAAGTGTGAATTTAATTAGAAATAAACAGGATATTTTATTGGACTGAACGGAGCCACGGAGGCCATATTCATATTGCACTGGTATATAAATAGGAGAGACGCGCCTCGGCGGTTTGTTAGTGCTCCTCCGCCATCTATCTCCCATCGCCGCCGTTAAGGTCAACTTCGATTTTTTGCTTAATTATAAAAATAAGATGGGCGGTTCCTTGGCCGTTCCAGAAAAGTCGATTCACGAGTTCACTGTCAAGGTCCTTCTTCTTCATCTTCATCATCATCTTCTTCTCCCTCTTCTGTTGGAATTTGGAATCCCAATCCCTTTCTTTCTGTTTTTGCTGGTACACAGGATTTCAAAGGTAAAGACGTGAACCTCAGTGATTACAAGGGGAAAGTGCTTCTCGTCGTTAATGTTGCCTCCAAATGGTTCTCTCTCTCTCTCTCTCCCGGTCTTTTATTGAGCAAAATTACTTGTTTATTTACTATGGTGATGATGATTTTTGTATTTATGTGCTTTACCAGTGGGTTCACAGGGTCTAATTACACCCAGTTGACTGATTTGTACAACAAATACAAGGATAAAGGTGATCTGATTTTGATCTCCTCAGATGCCCTCAATTTTGATTCCTTTTCATTTCTTTCATATTGCTGTTCGGATGCACTATGTACTACACTGTTTGAACCTTAATCAGGAACATGAGCAGCTAAAACTTTGTTGTCTTCGCATTTGTGACTTGATCCAGATTTTGAAATATTAGCATTTCCTTGCAATCAATTTTTAAACCAAGAGCCTGGGACAAGCGAGGAAGCACACGAGTTCGCTTGCACTCGATTCAAAGCTGAATATCCCGTGTTCGATAAAGTAAGAGGACCATGGTATCCCTTTATTCTGTCCATCTACAATTCACAATTAATGTCTTGTGACTCTTGTTTGCCTTTCATCCTAAATCACATAAACTATTTAATATAAATTGATCTTATTTTAGCTTCTATTTGGCTAGATGGAGTATATATAACTGGGAAATATTTTCCTTTCAGACTAATGACTATTATAGTGTTAAATCAGATATTACTAGGAAGACTTGTAAAACTCCTACCGATTCAATGTACAATTTTAATGTATAAATTGATTCCTACAGATTCTAGTTAAAGCTTTGACAGGAAGAGATGAGAAGTCTTATATTCTTCTTATTCTGTGTGATAGATTTTCTATGTAGTAATGCAATCAGGACATCTTTTACTCTTTCCGTCCATAGTTAAAGAAAAATAATATTGTTGAAAAGTAAAAAGTGAGTGGTTGAAATTTGTTTAGAAGGAAAAAAAGAGTTGTGAGACAAATATTGTTTGCTTTATTATGAAAGTAAATAAGTGTGAAGATTATTTTGGGAGGGAGGGAGTAATAGAATAATCTTCCAGTTATGCCTAAATTGTTTGTGTTTATGCATTGGAGTTGGTGATTCTAGTGAAAGATATTACTTTTTACAGAGATGAATATCAGTAGTCTCTTGGTAATTCTCTTGATTTGTGATCATTTGTGGGTTTTATCAGTTTTGAATGCCTAATTATTGCAGGGAAAGAGATTTCCTTCGATGGGAATGATCAAAAGAGTAGAATTTTCATTTAGCCTCCACGGCTGTGATTTTCTGCTTGTACATTTTTGTTTTGTTATGTTTTTAGTATGGGGAAACTCAAAAACAAAAACTACAAAGAATTAACCTGCTCTAGGTCATGCGATGATACCCATAGCTTCAGCTAATTCTTTAAAAAACACTCAGCACATCATTTACTTCTTTAGCATTAAGACATTCTATGTCGAAATCCATTAGAGGGCCACACAAAAGAGGGGTCGTAAAGTTAGAAATTATGGCAATTCTATAGAAAAATGAATATCATTGAGAACAATGCGTTTCCGAGGTAAAACAGGGCATATTGACAGTCATTTTAATTTAGCCCGTTATTTACCCAAAGCTACAACATTGTCAACAATGACTCTTTTTGCTCTGTTGGTTATGATGAATTAACAGCTATAGTTTAACTTGTGGCCAATAGCGCAAGGCATGTGGTAGTTGACAATAGCTAAAGAAATTGTGTGTATGATATTATTGATATGTAGTACGGCCTCTTGGCATTTCACAATGATCAGTGCTAAGCTTCATGGTGAATTCTTTTTTGATCAGGTGAAAGTTAATGGTTCAGAGGCATCACCAGTATATAAGTTCCTTAAAGCGAATGCAGGTGGCTTTTTAGGTTCGGGCATCAAGTGGAATTTCACCAAGTTTTTAGTTGACAAAGAAGGGAAAGTTATTGGACGTTATAGCCCCACTACTACACCTTTAAAACTTGAGGTAATCTCCCCATGCTTCTTTTACACTCTTCATTATAAAATCCTCTATGGAGGTGTTTGGTTCATGGAACTTTAAGATTACCTTAGGTAATAGTGTAATAGCAACACGGTTGCCTCCTGGAAGTCTTGCGGCAATGTAGATTAAATTTAGTATTTTGGTTCACCGAATGTGGTATTACTTGACCCAAGTTTTGCACTTGGAGGGATGTTGATGATATAATCCCACATGAAGAGAGTGGGTATTACTTATGTTGTCTAGTTGTTAGGGACAAAGTTGGAATACAATATAGGCAATTTGACAATTGCCAAGTAACTCAAGGCCCCCCTACATCACCTCATTTTCATACATGATAGCCATTAGATTACCCACGAGTGATCTGGAAACCTGAACCAAACAAGGTAATCTCAGATTACCAAGGTCATGTAAGATTACCTGAACCAAACACATCCTAAAGGGTTTTGGAGTCTAACATCAATTTTTATTGCATTTCCATATTGTTTCCTGATGAAACATGGTAGTAGGTACTTGTTATCTGAACAATCGTTAAACTTGCTGCTGGCATTCTTTTTTTTTTCTTTCCAGAAAGACATCCGACAAGCATTAGAATTGCAGTGAGAGGTGCTTTATCTACACAAACGATCCCTAAACGCTGAAATCAGAAATCATCAAAGCATTATCATAATTCTTATGGGTATGAAGAATGAAGGGAGGTCAAGTATACTTAACCAAATGTTTATATGGCATGCTTTATTTTCTTATTTCAGATGAACCTAATGAATAATCTGCTGTTTGAGATCCATTCACTTCATTGTTGATTACTCCAGAATGGAAGAATTTACCATTTCATTTTATGTAAAAGAGCATAAACACGCATGCTTTCCCGTGGTGTGATAACTGTTTCTGCTCCCCCCCACCCCATCCCGCCGTATTTGTCATTATTTTTATACGGAGTACTAATTTTATGAATAAATTGATTTAAAAAGAAATTCCGCACATAAAATAGTTATGGAATCACTACAAAAACCTTTTTTATCAACAAAAATCTTAACTTAGAACGGATGGAGTATAAATAAAAATTCCTAAATATGTTTCGGGCTCCGCAATTTGAAGTATAATATTCTCTTTGTCCCAAATCAGATAATAATTTTTTGTATTACGAAGTAAAATATTACTGGAGTACATGTTTTTAAAATTATTTTATTTTAAAATTGTATAATACTCCCTTCGACTTAAAATATCTTTTTCGTTTCTCTTTACAAGGTTTGACAAATTTTAATTTTAATTTAGTTTAAAGAGAACTTTCTAGATAGATACGGAGTATGAAAATATTTAAATAGGACTTACTCTGTATAAATATTTTAAGATTAAAACTCGAGTTCACACTTTCATTGTTACATTGTTACACTTACCATATTCTTACATTGTAACAACTACACTATCATCGTCATATTGTCATCGGTCGCCTCCTGCCACAAGAGTACCATTGCGGATCACCGGTGTTTGACTAATCACATCGATATATAACATTGTCATCACTTTTTTATCATGCTGCCAACTCTTATTTTTATATGACACTGACATTATTCTCATATTTTCATTTTAAAAGACTTATAACTTCTACTCCGTATTTTTGTAATATCATACTTTTTTACTTCTATCATAAAGATTTCTTTTAATTGATTATAGATGTAAAATTTAAAAATAAAATTTATACATTTATAAACTACGTCTAAAGTTCTAATGGATATCATGTTTACAAAATGGACCGAAAAAGCCCAAGAATGTTTCCATGAACACAACAGAGCTGAATGCAAGATCAGAATCACAAGAATGGGTTGAGCCTGAGGACTGAACGGAGTAATGGGCTAGGCCCTACTCGTCGAGGCAGATTGATCACGAGATATAAGGCAAGCACGATCCCCTTGATTGTGGGATTTGGAAGTGATTAATAATTGACTCCTCTATTATAACTCAAGTTGAAAGAAGTTAATATAAGTATACGAGAGTCATACACTTGATCTATATTGTTCTTATATAAATGCAAACTCTTCCCGCCACCATTGTTATTGGGCTAAATCCCATCAAGTTCTACAAATAAGAGGTGACAAGATTATATTATTTTATTAAATATTTTACAAATTGGTTAAAGTTTGATTGCATGAATAGTAACTGAAAAGAATGTTTTAAAACAAAAGATATATATTACTCCCTCCGTCCCAAATTATAATGCATGTTCACTATTCACAGGGTCAAACTTCATTTACTTTCTTTCCCTATTTTAGTTAGCAATTTGATAAAATAAAATATTGTTGTCACTACTAGTTTTGTAGATCTTTTGATGTAGTATTTTGTTATGTAATTTTTATTTTTTAACTCTATATCATTTGTCATATAAAATGATTTGAAAATAACTTCAGTTAAACATCGTAAACCGAAACAGTCGTTATAAAATGGGACGGAGGGAGTAAAAGATTACGTTAAAAAAATTACGGAGTATAAAATAAAAGATATGAATATTTTATTTTATCAAATAATTAAAAAAACATACAAAAAAATTTGACTAAACAATTGGTGATTAATTTCGAAACGCAATGAATACCACAAATTTTATTTGTTTATTTAAGTGTAAAGCATGTACCATTTCATTTCTTTATTGAATTTAATTTACTGATCGGAATTTAATATTAAACGGCGGACGTGAAGTTGAAGTTGGCGCAAGTGGTCCGGCGTCCTAACAGTGTGGAGCTGAAACCCAATCTTGACCTGGCCAAGTCAAACTCCATTAGATTGTCTTCCATTTGGTACCCGCCGATGACGATCGATGACCTAGGGTTCCGCCCTCCGTCAACCACCGCCAGGCACAGCAAGTTCTTCCCGGAATCCCGCAGGTCCACCATCGAATTCGACCCCGTGATCGTCCACGTCGCCCCCTGCCCTTCCAGATCCAGAGTGATCCACGGCACCGATGCGCCGACCCGCGTGCTCAGGACGTTCTCTGCCCCGAAGCACACCTCGAAGGGCGCCACCGCCGCCGCCGATCTCGTGATGTTCCTCGCGGCGGCCTCCTTCACGAACGCCTCCGTCACCGCTTTGAAGATCGATGTCTCCATCACCGTGTACGGATCTACGGTGCTGATCTTCGTTCCTCCGTTTCCCTGGGCGTCGATTGTCAGCAGCGAGTTATTGAGTTTCACGTCCTTTTCGCCGACTCGGATCGACTTGACGCCGATGAAGTACTCCGCCGACGGCTGGCCTGGAGATGAGGCGCCGGCGGTGCTCACTGGGTTTATCAGCAGCGGGGTGTACGTCAGGAGCTCGGACGCATGGACATTGGGCAGGAAATTGTAGGGGCCGTCGCCGAAGAAGACAACGCCGGTTGATGACGTCAGGCAAATGGCGAATTTCCGGTTGAAGCTGAAAACAGAGGAGAATTGAGAGGGGAGGGCGACTCGGGTCCTGCCCAGACCGGCAATTCCGACCGCTCCCTTAGCCAGCCCCTGCAGCAGAAAACTGGGAGCGCAAGAGAAGACGAAGCCAGAGGCGGCCGCCGGCTTTCCGAGACTCGACCCGTCAGTCGAACTGACCGAAACAACGTCCTGAGCCAACTCGCCGCCGGTGGACGTGTGGGTGACAGGATTATCCGGCGAGACCCCGCAGGTGTTATTGTTACATCCGGGGCGGGGAGCGGAGAAGCAATCCCCGCAGCCATTGGACCCGGCCAGAGAGCAGGGCGCGGACCGGCACAGGACGGGGCGGTAAGTGGTGGAGACGTAGTTGGCGTGGCAGTCCACCCACAAGAACTCGCCGCCGAGATGCAGGACGAGGTCGACGGGGACAAGCGGTGACCTTTGGCTGATTCGGGTGAGATATTGGTGGGTGGATGCGTCTTTGGTGACAGGGGCTACAAGAGCCTTGGGGCGAAAGGAGGCGGCGGAAGAAGAAGAAGAAAGGAAGAGGATGAAAAAGGAGAAACAGAGGAGGTCGACAATGGAGGTGCGTGGAGCCGCCATTGGAGATGATGAGTGAGCTTGAATTGGTGGGTGTAAGCAGAGGAGATGGGTGATTCCAACTATATATAGGCATGGATTGAAGTTGTAACGCGGAGAATCGGGTGCCGGCGGCTGGGAATTTTCAAAGATGATGGCCGGAATTGGATAGCTGTCTCTTGTCAGCGGTTCCTTAAATCAAGGGGCCATGCTACACTTACCCCACAAAACACTTACACCACAACTTGTACCCCATTTATTTGTATACACAAACATTTTGATGGTTTACACCAACACAAGTATTGGTGCGTTAACAAAAATTTACACGGACACAAACTGTTCGTGTATTAACAAACCAACACAAAGTGTTGGTGCAAACCTGCGGGGTACAAAGTGGGGTACCAAAACATGGGGTACAAGTAACTTTATCCTAAATCAAATGTCAACCATTAAGTGATGTCCAAATGATTTTTTTTTCAAAAAATATTGATAACAACCATGCTACGTACTCATCAAGTTGTACATTTACCAATAGAAATATTTGATGATTTATACTCATATAAAATGTCAACTATCAAAGAACGAGTAATAAGTAAAGAAATATTTCCTTCGTCTCTAAATATATTATAATTTTTTTCTCTCTCTTCTCGATAACTTTTGGGGACGTAATTTTTAATATATAATTAAGTATTTGATAAAATAAAATTGGAGATGTAGTTTTTAATATATAATTTTTATATCTTATTAATATATCAATTTGTAAATAAAATGATTTCAAAAAGTAAGAAATTTTACTCCGTAACCCTCAATTTGTAATCAAATTGGGGACGGAGAGAGTATTTTTAAAATCTTATTTTTATAATATTATATTCATATTAAAGCATATGATTTTGAAAAGTTCTTACATTAGCAGGTCGGTCGGGTTAGATTTGGGTTCGGTCGGGTTTGACCTATTTTTAACATGTAATTTCAAATCGGGTGTCGGGTCAAAAATATGTCGGATCAAAACCAGTTCTTACATATTAAAGCATATGATTAAAACCTTTATTCAAAACCCAGTATTTTCGAATCGGGTCTCAGGTCAAAAAAAGGTCGGATCATTTTTTTCCAAATCTACTACTTGAGTACTTGGTATAAATAAACATACTCATACAAATAAACAAAAACTATCATGCCAAAGATCTTATATACTTTTGTCAAACTTAATAACTTTTACTTCATTTCGACTCAAGTATGGAATTATTTTGATTTTGAAATGAAGTAAACTTAATACCATTCCATACTTTGTTCATACATTCTCAACCTATTAAAGTTCGTAGAGTTACGAGCCTGCACTGAAAATCAAACCTGTGATCTCTCATTCGGGAGAATCATAGCGATGCTTCATTTCGACTCACACGTTTGATTTTGAGTTGAAATCAAACTTAAATTCCATACCAATCTTTGAAATTGAGTCGGAAATAACTTTTGTCAAACTTAATAAACAACAAGCGATTTAAATTGAAACAAGAAAAAATTTATATACTTTAGAAATATTTTGTTTTACTTATTTTAAATTAGTTTGATATAAAATTAATTTTTAATCAATAATTTAAGAGTACCTTTAAAAAGTTTCAAGAGCACGATCTCTAAACCCCGCCTTACTATTCCATCCTATCATTTGTACTTCTAAATCCGCCACTGAATCTACCTTTAAAATCGTCCATCATATTATTTTAACCACGTTTTTATCCATTTTTGCTACCTATGTGTGAAAATCATATAATCATGTTGCCTCTTGTATTGTATATTGAAACTTTTTATATAATTTTTAAACGTTTAAATTTTTTTTTTTGAAGGCAGTTTAAATTTTATTTTTAATTTCATAACAATGTTCAAAAAATTAAATTAAAAATAACTTCAACCCAACAACACAAACAATAACAGACCGTACAACTTAGAACGGAAAAAGTTTTTGTATATGAAGTACACTTCAATTATTTTGTTTTACTTATTTTAAATTATTTAATATAAAATTTATTTTTTAATAAATACGGAGTAATTAAAAAGTACTTTTAACAAATTTCAAGAGCACATCCGCCAAGCCCCGGTCTTACTACTTCCTCCTTTCATTTGTATTTCTAGATTTGCCACTGTATCTACCATCAAAGTAATTCATCATAATCTTTTTATTGATTATGAAAAATGAATAATTAATTTCAGGAAAACCGAATCAAAAAACAAAGAGATTGTATCGAAGTGATTAATGCAAAAGTGGAAAAAATGGATATCCAGGAAACTTAACACAACTGTTCCCAAAAGGCACAAAAAATAGCTTAGCATCTCTCTATTGTCTGAAGGCAACTTGAGAAATATGGAGGAAATCAAATTAAGGCCCACAAAACAGATTAGGGAAATAAACTCTCCATTAATACATGATGTGTTTACAGAAACAGATTGCCCAAAAAAACTAAGTTAAGCGCCGAAAGCCACCTAGCGCCCGCGTCCTCCTCGTCCACGCCCCCTCCCCCGCCCTCTCCCCCTTCCTAGAGGCTTCCCTGAAATGACAAAAGGGGACAAAACATAAGACAAGAATAGTGTTAAAGAGTAAATTAATGAAAAACTAAGCTGTCCTTATACATACCAGCAGTAGCCTTCTTAGGCTTCACCCTGGGTGTTTCTTCAACTAGCAAAGTCTCAAGATTTATACTGTCGGGCAGTATATAATAGCGGATGTTGTTTCCCCTTAAGCTCAAATGATCCATTGTTACCGGATTCTTCCCTTTCGGTGTTAATTTTACAGTCTTCAAGTGTGTGTTCATGCTGACATCAACACCTGAATGCAACACGATTACACAACCATTACAAAATTGAGATTCTTGATGTGAAACCAGAACTCCACCATCCTCAGTTCTCACACCTTTGAACCATAACTGTTTGAGACTATTATACTCCTTTGAATGACCGGTTCACGTGAATAAAAAAAATTGATAAACTCATTTAAATGATTAGGGAAGATATAAATCTCAATCACCTTGATGAAAGACACTGCTTATTTATTGTGTTAGAGACTAATTTGCACACAACATGCTTCTTCTAGGAAGCAGAGTAAAACAACAGGAAAAGAAAACACTTTTAGAGACCAAATATGAGGGGGGTTTATTTCTGAGAAACTTCACCATTCACTCTAAGAAAACCAAAACCACTACACATTGTTCACAGACAATATTGGCAAGAACCAAGTGCTTATAATTACGATGAACTTATTACTAGACTCAATCCACACACCCTGTTATTCATTGGTAAGGATTTCATATCCAATGAAGCGCCGGATTTTCTCCCTCTCCCCATCTGCATTGAGATTGTCTGAGAGGGAGACAATCATGACCAGAGGGTAACACTCTTCAGTCTTCACATTATTAACATTGAATGTAACTATTATGTTTATATCAGCCCATTCAATACTTTCTAACCAGAATTGATACTTCTATTTCATAAGCAGAAGTACTATGAAAACACAATTTGTTGACCAATCGTGTTGCCATTTCGTGCAAGTTCAGTTTTTGGGGTTGTAGTTATCAAAACACTATGCCACATACAAAGTCTGATATCCTCCACAGAGACCTCAGGACAAATCTGAACATTACTAGAATGCTTGAAAACAGGAAACACGCCAAGAAACGAAAGATAAAGCTGTAAATAGAGGTACCGGTGATGGTTCCATTAGCGACGGTGCCGTTCTTCAGCTCGATCGAGACAGTTTCGTTGTTCAATTTCATCAAAAACCTGCGCGAAAAGAAAATTGAATCGATTTGCTATCCCGCGTAGAAAGAATAATGAATTAAATTACTTAACACTGACCTGACGAGCTTCATCTTCGAGAGCAAATGAAGAAATCGCTGCCAGGGGCTGCTTCTTATGAACTCACTCAACAAGCCTCCAATGGAGTTAGGGTTTTAGGGCGATTTCAATTTTCGTGTAGAGCGACGACTTCCCCCTTCTCCCAGTGGGAATGAATCGTTCGAGTACTTTTTTCGGGTTTTTATTTTGCCAATTCGTGGCCCACTATAGAAGGCCTAAACGGGATGTTAGGCCTATGAATATTTTGACGAACATCCGAGGCCCAATACATAAGTCCTCACTAAAGTGAAAAAATCATACTCCGTCTATCTCAATTTAAATTACTTGTTATTGTTTACAATATTTGACTAAATTTATTTTTAATTTAATCTATTTAAAAATTTACCTGAAGTTAAAAATGAATTTAAACATTTAAGAACTACATAAACTTTTTACAAAATAAAAGGTGACATGATTATATAATTTTACCAAATGGATAACGAAAATGAATAAAGATTGTAATGAAAGTTTGATCATGTGAATTATAAACAAACAATTTCAATCCTGATGCAGGGAGTAAGAACAATTGTAATGAAAATGTTATCTACATACAAATTGATGTATACAATTCTGTGAACCATATATACAAACAACAATTATCTTTGTCAACAAGCAAATATTGTTATGTGTTTGCAACAAGTTGATGTATAAGTGGTGTAGTCCAATGTGGTGCACACCTAGCATATCTCACTCCATGATTCACACAAGCATATCAAAAAGAGTTATACTAAAGTTTATAAAATGAGTATGAATATATGAGTTGAATCGTTCTGTTTCAAAGTTCACGAGTGAAATGTGATTTTTGTTACATTTTTTATAGACTCGCGAATGAATCTTTTTATTTTATTTTTTGTAAAAAACTTAATTCTTTTATGATATAAATGCACTAAAATGTATTAAATGAGCATGAACCATAGAATGATATAAGAATTTCCCTGTAAAAAATAAACCTTCAATATTTTAATATTAAATACTCCTGCTAGGACTTATAACATTAAAAAGGAAAAAAAATTAAAATATGAGTAAAATATTGAAAATACATACAAAATAGGAGTTGTATGATTTTATTCACGAAACATGAGTTAAAATGCATTTACATTATCAATTATGACCATGTATATTATTTAAAATGCACATGTACAATGTCACATTATTACAGTGCAAACTTCTATTTAGGAATAAAAATATAGAATTTTTATTTTGATACTTTATATACTCCGTATGTCTTAGTCATTTTTATGGTGGTTTCTTCACTAAGAATCTAAAATATATACCAATATTATTGTAAACATTTATTCTGTAAATCCATAATAGACTTTCAAATTGTGGAATTTTTAAACTTCAACACTTTTATTTGGAAAATAAAATAATACGAACTCTTCTTTAGATATTGTAGACTCTTTCTATTATAGTGTTTTTGTCTGAATTCAACTTTTTGAGTCAAACATGGCAAATTTTAAATTTCTATGAAACAAAAATTGTAATGTATGGAATATATTAGTATAAATATGTTTTTATCAAATTTATCTTATTAAAAACTTACATAATTTTATTTTATGATAATAATATGCAATACAAAGTATTACGAGTAGTAATTAAAGATCAAAATTTATCTAATTTAATCAAAAAAATCCAAAAAAATAACAAAAATAAACAAAAAGAATAAGACGGAAATAATTTTTAAGTTTATGAGTTTGTCTATCACTGTCACTTTCAGCATACTCCCTTCTCTCCCCCCATCTCGGGGACTCAACCTTTTTTTTCGAAATAAACGCAATTTGGCTAGCTCTTCGGTTCCATCGCCATCCTCGATCAGGGTATTTCTTTTCCCAGTCTCCATCTTCATCTCCGTGGTTTAATTAGAGCATTTATTACTCCCGATCCTGAGGTGAAGTTTGGATTTTGATTTCTTGGGTTTATTAAAAAGAGTTTCTATTTTACAATAAAGAAAGCAGTCTTAAAAAGTAAGATGTGTAGTTCAAATTTGTTTAGACTAGAATTTCCAAACCCCCATTTTCCTGACAAGGATGTACAAGCATTGTTTGGTTCGATTTGGTAATTTTCATCTTTGTCAGATTTCTACTTGCTTAGGCAAAATAATTTTTTTGAAGGGATGATAGATAAATTTCATAAAGTTTGAATCTTGTTATCAAGAACCACAAAGTAGTGATAAAGAAGAAATTGTGTGATGTTTTTTTTACCTAGAGGCTTAAAGTTTATTTATTTGTTCTGCTGGTATATTCACAAGGCTTGTGAGCTTATGTTATGATGGTTCTTCCAGTGGAATGCAGCTTGAAGCTTCCATTCTTTTGGATTTATATGCTTTGGGGAAGTTGTTCTAAGACTGAACTCAAAATTGTTTTCTGCAGGCCATGGAAAAGAACCCACAAAAAGTTTCAGATCCATCTGCAAAGAAGAAGACACCATCTAAGTATAGTAACTCTAATGTTAGAAGATCTTGCCGGCTTCAAAAGCTTGGCTCCCCGGTCAGGTCAGAACTCGCTGCTGAGAAAATTGATCTTACTGCGGAGGAGACGCCACAGGCTCAGCTTATTGACTCTGGTTACTCTGAGGAACAAGTAGGCATCACTCCACTTGTGCATGAAGTTGATAATGGTGATGACGAAAAACACGATGATGAACAAGTGAGCATGGAAGAGAAAATTGACTTCCTGTACCGGACAGCAAAAGAACCTAAGAAATCTAAGGCACATTTTTTCTTGTATTTATATTTCTCTGTTTTTTTCTATTCTATTATAAAAGTACAGTACAAATCAAACTCTTGAACAGGCATCCAAACAGCCCTTACCGAGTGGAACTACGTATGAGGATCTCAACTACAAAAGCTTGTATATCGACTCCCACATAAAGGTTTAGATTATCAACTACACAATGTTGTTTTCCCCTTCTGGTACAAGTGTAGCTCTCTCATTTTGGTTATTTTTTTTCTTTTCAGAATGAGGCCTTGGCAAAGGAAAACTCAAAGCTAGCCAAGGAATTGGATTATGCTCTTGGGAAGATTGAAGCTGTGAGTTATACCAAATCTTGTATTGTTACAATGTTAGCCAAACTTTACTAACCCAATACTCTGTGCATTGAGGAATATGTAATGACAGAGCTTCATTCACCGATGTTTTCAGTATGAGAAGATGAATGGTGTCATTGGAAAGCAAAAGGAGATGATAGTTCTTACAAATTTAGGCAAAGATGGTGATGGTGTCATAAATCTATCTCAACTAATGGCTGCTACACCAAACACAGCCCTAGAGACGCCCGGAGAGAAGTGTGGTGCTGATAATTGCGGTGGTGGTGCCTCCAAATCTAAGGGTACAAAATGTAGCAAAAGGAAGATAACTTCTTAAGATGCTGTCTGAGGATGTCGTTAATTAACTTCTTCTTTTTTTGTTTGTTATGGAAGCACAAACTTGTAGTTGCTATATTAACTCTGGTAGTATGGTATTAGTTATGGGAATAGAACTAATCAAGGCATTTGATGCCAGCAGCATTATGGGGGGTTCTTCCAAATTTTGCAATTTCCTAGAGCTAAAGGTCAGTTTTGTATGTTTATATTTTTTTGCCAGGAAAACCCCTTCAATTAGTTATTCAATGAAAATTGTTCTATTGAACCACCCTGATGAGGGTGTAGCTTCATTTCTTATACTTTTTATATGATTTTGAAACCCTGTACCTAAAACAGAAGAATACATTTCACTCTGCTGCTATTGCTGCAACACGGGAAAGCCGAATGTATCACATTGAATGTTGAAAGTGCGAGCTCTAGAGAGCGTGTTTGGGATGCATTAGCTACAAGTTTTTTTTGTAACTTTAAGTTCTTTTATAATAAGTGTTCTTTCTAAGTTCTAACAAAGTAACAAGTGCTTTTTTTCCTCATTTACTCACTAAAAAAGTTTTTTTTTTTTTACTCACAAGGTGTCTTTTAAGAATAAAAAAAACCTTACTCCGTATTTGCTAAAACTCAATATATTTTCATACTAAAGACATCTATTCTCTTAAACGAAGTTTGTCTAAGGCAATAAACACTCTTAAGAGCATTTCCTTGACAGGTTTCTTCTAAAGGCTTAAAGAAGGATTTGCTAAAAGCACTGTATAATACAAAAAAAAATCTCTGTGGTTCTTCTTCATCAAAACTCATGTTGTTTATTCTCCATAGTGGCATCAATTCCATCAGTCTTGTTTTTTTTCTTTTCAATCTTCATCGTAGCAGTCATCGAGGGTTTTCGAAATTCCTCCGAACAAATCTTGTGAAAGAGATGGCAACTGTCCTCCTCCTTCGGTTACATCATTTTGTTCATCTGGCAATGAAGTGAAATCCATGCTCATACCCATGCCTCTCAGCAAGTTCTCATAGGATGCAGAGATATCTTCTGAGGCAAACTGATGGTATTCCACTTGCTCGCGAAGGCACTGATTCTCCCTACTCAAGTTTGCATTCTCATTTGCAAGCCTTGATTTCTCAGCCAGAAGTGCCTCCAATTGCAACCTCACCTGCACATACACATATGAAAAGCATCACACATGATTTTAGTCCTCCAATAGAAGTTCTTGATTGTCCAAAAGAACCAATAGTTGGGATGAACTCAAAGAACCAAATATTATAAATAGTAATGCTGTAAAAATGGTTCAAGAAAGTTTTACCAGATCATCTTCTTCTTGAGGTGGGATCACCACTTTGGGAACTCCAATGCGGAGCTTCCTGTTTTCTTCCTCCAGGAAAGAGCAGCGTTCTTGCACAGCGCAAAGATCCGATTTTAACGACTTTAGTTCTCTAGCAAACGCAGCCGCTTTGGTCGCCATTGAAACAGCAAGCTTTATGCAGATATATACACACAAAGATTAGGCCTTTAAGCTTATTATGTGAGCTGCAAACAACAATCATATTGCAGTCTTTATCTAGAAAGTAAAAGTGAAAATGATGGAGACTGACATTTTTGGCTTTCTTCAGCTTCCCCAGTTCCTTGGCGCCCTTCAAACTTCCATCCTTAGAATCATCATCACCTTCAGTACCTTGATTTGGATCTTCTGAACATTCTTGGGATTCAAACTTTCTCTTCAATGCCCTTTTTTCTATTCCACCGTTCACATCTTCCTCTTCTGGTTTGTGATTCTCCTCACTTTTGGCCTTCTCCAAATTGCAGTGAAGTATTTCTGTCAATGTGGGCGGGTTTGCCAGATCCCTAGCTCCCTAGTAGACCAACACACAAACCAATCAGACAGGCTTTGTTTCTAAATCTCTCTCTGTTTCAAGAATTGTTTGAAATTTAGGAAAATGAAAATCAACGGCTGAGATTAGCTTACCTGAAGGGCACTCTCAAGATTGTTGGAGAGCTGAGATAGAGTGGAAGAAACAGAGTCAAACCCTCTGATGAGCAGCAAAGCATCCTCCTTCATTCTTTTCGCTCTCTCATCTGCTCCTTCAGTCTGGCACCATTTTTTTATCAGAGTATTATAAAGAAGAACATAACCGGAATCAAAATTTGAAACTAAACCCAGAGAGAGAAAAAAAAAGAAGGGAAAAGCTACAAACTTGGTCCGTGGATTTGCGGTTTTCAAGAAGAGTATCTACCCGCCTGCGGAGAGTGCTCCAGATATGCTGGTCTGGAGATGGAGAAGGACCCATAGGTATGGGTGATGAAGATGGTCCCTGCACATGGAACTAAAAGGTTAAATTTCTTGGTAATTTTTAAAAAAAAGATGAAGAAGAAGAGATTCTTGAGTCAGTGAAAAGCCATCCGAGGAATCAACCTTCATGAGAGACGGAGAAGACGATTCTACTGAGATTGCCATATTTGATTTTCTGGGCTCAGAAAGTGAAAATTAAAGAGGGAGGAGAGATAGAGAGAGAGAGCAGTAGATCTATGAGATGGAGAAGATGAACTAGAGAGTTGTCAACGGCTAGTTTAGCATTTAAATAAGTGGGTGTTTAATTAATGTCCTTTGGTCTTTGACAACTCCAACGTTCGAATAATTAACCCTGAAACTCGTTATTGCATATCTAAAACTAACCCCTCGCTCACTCACATGTTATATTAAAAGAAGTGTTTCAAAATAGAAATAAAAAGTAACACTTATCTTTAAAATTAGAGTTTTATATTTTTTTTATCTTAAAATAGATATTTGTATTACAATATTACGTGTGACATTGTATCATGGCATCTCACTGTATTATTGCTACTATTAGCATTATTGAAATTGTACTGAAGATAAAAAAACAAGAAGCTTCTAATTTGATACTTTATTCATGTTTTAGTCTTATTTTAGTCATTTTTTCTAAAGTTAACTTACTAACTACCGTATTATTAAAACAATATTTCCCTGATGTCTTTTTAATTTATAAAATACTTATAAGTTAAATATTCATTCGTGACAGTAAAGTCATTTAAATGATATAAATAAGTCATTTGAGAGTATTCATAAATTATGAAAGATATTCATATTAATATTCATGTCAAAACAGGATAACCAAAAGAAATAATTTAAAAATAAATATGTAAGACTTACTTAATTTTTTACTTATCAATTAAAAATAACTTATAAGCATTTTAACCAGCTTATAAGCTCAAAGAAGTACAATTAATTATGATTTCCTAAAACTTGTCAACTTGATTAGTCTAGTGACTTAATTAATAATTCGTGGGTGAATGGTCTATGTACTATGCCCTTGCACATTACCATTTCTATCATAGTTTTAAAAAGAGAGACCGGACACCAAACCGATCAAGGCACTAATTTACTAGTTTACTAGTTGATCCAGTGGTTCGAGTGGTGAACCAATGGTTCATATATATATATATATATATATATATATATATATATATATATATATATATATATATATCTGTGTGTGTGTGTGTGTGTGATAGTTAGCCAAAATTATAATCAATTTAATTGAGTTATGTCACTAAATTAAAAATTAAAATTTACATATTTAAAAAAATGTTAAAAATTTTATTAAAAAGAGGTGATTTTAATTTTTCAAATAAATTAACACAATATTTTAAAAAATACTCAAAAGAAATATTTGCATGAATGCATTTTGTGATAATATTAAATATATGAATGATTTATAATTTAAATCATAGCTATAGCAATATATTTTTTAAAGTTCTTAAAAAACAAAATAAAATACTTAGGAGTCTTTATTTTTTAACTATTAAATATTTAAGAACATTAACTAAAGTATAACAAAAAAACATTCTAGCTTAGATGATCTACTAAACCAGGTGTCAATGGGATTATGTCTTCAAACCCCCTCTTGGATAACAGTTTTTTAAAATAAATTCGCAAATAAAAAACTGGTTTAACTGGTCCGACCAGCTGGTTCCTACCAGTTCACACCGGTTCAATTCATATATATTACGCTATGAAAAGTATAAATGAATAAAGCAATGAAAAAGTAATTTAATGATTGGTGAAGTGTATTTGTAACACAAAAGAAGTGAACCTTTTTGAAATACAGAAAATATCAACAAGCAAGCTAAGCCATGAAAAATATGAGAAGATTCACAATTTAAATGTGGACCTTGAGACTATATAAGAATCACTTGAGTATATAATCTCTTCTACTTGTTATTTCCAAATAAAATTTTTACTTGCATAAAATGCATTAATATTTTTTACACATGATATAAGAAATAAATCTTTTAGACATAAAAATAAACAAATACCCCAAAATATAAAGAGGGTAACACCACCCTTTGTCATTTGGTAACAAAAAAGATTTTGTAAAGCAGTCTAGCGGCTTGTCAATCATTAACACTAATATTACCATTAACACTTTAAAGATTATTCTAAATTATCATTACAAATTTTATATTAAAAAACATACACTTTAACAAATTTAATATCGTTATTAATGAAATTAGATATTTTAAATTTTAAAATTAAATTCTTTTATGAAATTAAATATAGTCATTAAATAAATTAAAAATGTAAAATTACAGTAGTTATCATAGAAACAAAATATTTAATATTTAATAGAAATGAAAGTTTTGTTATAAATGAAGAAGTAAAAATACTGAATTAGGAAAAAATATTATTATATAAATGAAGAACACTATTTCATAATTGAATTTATTCAAAGATTTCAAAGCAAAATATTTATTTCATATTTTATATGTCTTAAACTCGGTGTAAAAAAGCCACATAAGTAATTAATGCACATGTCAACGTTCCAACGATAAAGTTTCATCTTTTTATATAAAGGATTTATTGAATAATTTTATTCTTAATAATTTAGTATAAAGGATTTATTTAAAATTTATTTTTTAATATTTTAATTTTTGATGAAAAGTAAAAATTTAATCTCATGTCAAGTGTTATTCAATGGATTATAGCTTATAAATCAAATGTGACATACAATGTCATATATTATGTCATATGTATACTCTATATTATGCCACATTTATATCATATATTGTGCCACATGTCAAACACTTATGTAATGGAATCTCAAATTTATATACAAATGATGGCCAAATAGCACCGGTACCCACTC